TTGTCGTGGTCATTGTCGTGGTCATTGTTGTGGTTATTGTTGTGGTTATTGTTGTGGTCATTGTCGTGGTCATTGTCGTGGTTATTGTCGTGGTCATTGTCGTGGTCATTGTTGTGGTTATTGTCGTAGTTATTGTCGTGGTTATTGTTGTGGTTATTGTCGTGGTCATTGTCGTGGTCATTGTCGTGGTAATTGTCGTGGTCATTGTCGTGGTCATTGTCGTGGTCATTGTCGTGGTTATTGTCGTGGTTATTGTCGTGGTTATTGTTGTGGTCATTGTCGTGGTCATTGTCGTGGTCATTGTCGTGGTCATTGTCGTGGTTATTGTTGTGGTTATTGTTGTGGTCATTGTTGTGGTTATTGTCGTGGTCATTGTCGTGGTTATTGTCGTGGTCATTGTCGTGGTTATTGTCGTGGTCATTGTCGTGGTCATTGTCGTGGTTATTGTCGTGGTCATTGTTGTGGTTATTGTCGTGGTTATTGTCATGGTCATTGTTGTGGTCATTGTCGTGGTTATTGTCGTGGTTATTGTCGTGGTCATTGTCGTGGTTATTGTCGTGGTTATTGTCGTGGTCATTGTTGTGGTTATTGTCGTGGTTATTGTTGTGGTCATTGTCGTGGTTATTGTTGTGGTCATTGTTGTGGTTATTGTCGTGGTTATTGTTGTGGTCATTGTTGTGGTTATTGTCGTGGTTATTGTTGTGGTCATTGTCGTGGTCATTGTTGTGGTTATTGTTGTGGTTATTGTTGTGGTCATTGTCGTGGTCATTGTCGTGGTTATTGTCGTGGTCATTGTTGTGGTTATTGTTGTGGTTATTGTCATGGTCATTGTTGTGGTCATTGTCGTGGTTATTGTCGTGGTTATTGTCGTGGTCATTGTCGTGGTTATTGTCGTGGTTATTGTCGTGGTCATTGTTGTGGTTATTGTCGTGGTTATTGTTGTGGTCATTGTCGTGGTTATTGTTGTGGTCATTGTTGTGGTTATTGTCGTGGTTATTGTTGTGGTCATTGTTGTGGTTATTGTCGTGGTTATTGTTGTGGTCATTGTCTTGGTCATTGTCGTGGTTATTGTCGTGGTCATTGTCGTGGTTATTGTCGTGGTCATTGTCGTGGTCATTGTCGTGGTTATTGTCGTGGTTATTGTCGTGGTCATTGTCGTGGTCATTGTCGTGGTTATTGTCGTGGTCATTGTCGTGGTCATTGTTGTGGTTATTGTTGTGGTTATTGTCGTGGTTATTGTTGTGGTTATTGTTGTGGTTATTGTTGTGGTCATTGTCGTGGTCATTGTCGTGGTCATTGTTGTGGTTATTGTTGTGGTTATTGTTGTGGTCATTGTCGTGGTCATTGTCGTGGTTATTATCGTGGTCATTGTCGTGGTCATTGTTGTGGTTATTGTCGTAGTTATTGTCGTGGTTATTGTCGTGGTTATTGTCGTGGTCATTGTCGTGGTCATTGTCGTGGTCATTGTCGTGGTCATTGTCGTGGTCATTGTCGTGGTCATTGTCGTGGTTATTGTCGTGGTTATTGTCATGGTTATTGTCGTGGTTATTGTTGTGGTCATTGTCGTGGTCATTGTCGTGGTCATTGTCGTGGTTATTGTTGTGGTTATTGTTGTGGTCATTGTTGTGGTTATTGTCGTGGTCATTGTCGTGGTTATTGTCGTGGTCATTGTCGTGGTTATTGTTGTGGTTATTGTCGTGGTTATTGTCGTGGTCATTGTCGTGGTCATTGTCGTGGTTATTGTCGTGGTCATTGTTGTGGTTATTGTCGTGGTTATTGTCATGGTCATTGTTGTGGTCATTGTCGTGGTTATTGTCGTGGTTATTGTCGTGGTCATTGTCGTGGTCATTGTCGTGGTTATTGTCGTGGTCATTGTTGTGGTTATTGTCGTGGTTATTGTCATGGTCATTGTCGTGGTTATTGTTGTGGTTATTGTCGTGGTCATTGTCGTGGTCATTGTCGTGGTTATTGTTGTGGTTATTGTCGTGGTCATTGTCGTGGTTATTGTTGTGGTTATTGTCGTGGTCATTGTCGTGGTCATTGTCGTGGTTATTGTTGTGGTTATTGTCGTGGACATTGTCGTGGTCATTGTCGTGGTTATTGTTGTGGTTATTGTCGTGGTTATTGTCGTGGTCATTGTCGTGGTCATTGTCGTGGTTATTGTCGTGGCCATTGTCGTGGTTATTGTCGTGGTTATTGTCGTGGTTATTGTCGTGGCCATTGTTGTGGTTATTGTCGTGGTCATAGTCGTGGTTATTGGTGTGGTCATTGTCGTGGTCATTGTCGTGGTTATTGTCGTGGTCATTGTCGTGGTCATTGTCGTCGTTATTGTCGTGGCCATTGTCGTGGTTATTGGTGTGGTCATTGTCGTGGTTATTGTCGTGGTCATTGTCGTGGTTATTGTCGTGGTCATTGTCGTGGCCATTGTCGTGGTCATTGTCGTGGTTATTGTTGTGGTCATTGTCGTGGTTATTGTCGTGGTCATTGTCGTGGTTATTGTCGTGGTTATTGTCGTGGTTATTGTTGTGGTCATTGTCGTGGTTATTGTCGTGGTTATTGTCGTGGTCATTGTCGTGGTCATTGTCGTGGTTATTGTCATGGTCATTGTTGTGGTTATTGTCGTGGCCATTGTCGTCGTTATTGTCGTGGTTATTGTCGTGGTTATTGTCGTGGTCATTGTCGTGGTCATTGTCGTGGTCATTGTCGTGGTTATTGTTGTGGTCATTGTCGTGGTTATTGTCGTGGTCATTGTCGTGGTTATTGTCGTGGTTATTGTCGTGGTTATTGTTGTGGTCATTGTCGTGGTTATTGTCGTGGTTATTGTCGTGGTCATTGTCGTGGTCATTGTCGTGGTCATTGTCGTGGTCATTGTCGTGGTCATTGTCGTGGTTATTGTCGTGGTTATTGTCGTGGTTATTGTCGTGGTCATTGTCGTGGTCATTGTCGTGGTTATTGTCGTGGTTATTGTCGTGGTTATTGTCGTGGACATTGTTGTGGTTATTGTCGTGGTCATAGTCGTGGTTATTGGTGTGGTCATTGTCGTGGTTATTGTCGTGGTTATTGTTGTGATTATTGTCGTGGTCATTGTCGTGGTTATTGTCGTGGTCATTGTTGTGGTCATTGTCGTGGTTATTGTCGTGGTTATTGTCGTGGTAATTGTCGTGGTCATTGTCGTGGTTATTGTCGTGGTTATTGTCGTGGTTATTGTCGTGGTTATTGTCGTGGTCATTGTTGTGGTTATTATCGTGGTTATTGTCATGGTCATTGTTGTGGTCATTGTCGTGGTTATTGTCGTGGTTATTGTCGTGGTAATTGTCGTGGTCATTGTCGTGGTTATTGTCGTGGTTATTGTCGTGGTTATTGTCGTGGTCATTGTTGTGGTTATTGTCGTGGTTATTGTCGTGGTCATTGTTGTGGTTATTGTCGTGGTTATTGTCGTGGTCATTGTTGTGGTTATTGTCGTGGTTATTGTCGTGGTCATTGTCGTCGTTATTGTCGTGGCCATTGTCGTGGTTATTGGTGTGGTCATTGTCGTGGTTATTGTCGTGGTCATTGTCGTGGTTATTGTCGTGGCCATTGTCGTGGTTATTGTCGTGGTTATTGGTGTGGTCATTGTCGTGATTATTGTCGTGGTCATTGTCGTGGTCATTGTCGTGGCCATTGTCGTGGTTATTGGTGTGGTTATTGTTGTGGTTATTGTCGTGGTCATTGTTGTGGTTATTGTCGTGGCCATTGTCGTCGTTATTGTCGTGGTCATTGTCGTGGTCATTGTCGTGGTCATTGTTGTGGTTATTGTTGTGGTCATTGTCGTGGTTATTGTCGTGGTCATTGTCGTGGTTATTGTCGTGGTTATTGTCGTGGTTATTGTTGTGGTCATTGTCGTGGTTATTGTCGTGCTCATTGTTGTGGTCATTGTTGTGGTTATTGTCGTGGTCATTGTTGTGGTTATTGTCGTGGTCATTGTCGTGGTCATTGTCGTGGTTATTGTTGTGGTCATTGTCGTGGTCATTGTCGTGGCCATTGTCGTGGTTATTGTCGTGGTCATTGTCGTGGTCATTGTCGTGGTTATTGTCGTGGTTATTGTCGTGGTTATTGTCGTGGTCATTGTCGTGGTCATTGTCGTGGTCATTGTCGTGGTCATTGTCGTGGTCATTGTTGTGGTCATTGTCGTGGTTATTGTCGTGGTCATTGTCGTGGTTATTGTTGTGGTCATTGTCGTGGTTATTGTCGTAGTCATTGTCGTGGTCATTGTTGTGGTCATTGTCGTGGTTATTGTCCTGGTCATTGTCGTGGTCATTGTTGATGTTATTGTTGTGGTTATTGTTGTGGTTATTGTCGTGGTCATTGTCGTGGTCATTGTTGTGGTTATTGTCGTGGTTATTGTTGTGGTCATTGTCGTGGTTATTGTTGTGGTTATTGTCGTGGTCATTGTCGTCGTCATTGTTGTGGTTATTGTCGTGGTTATTGTTGTGGTCATTGTCGTGGTTATTGTAGTGGTTATTGTCGTGGTTATTGTCGTGGTCATTGTCGTGGTCATTGTCGTGGTCATTGTCGTGGTCAATTGTCGTGGCCATTGTTGTCATTGTCGTGGCCATTGTCGTGGTCATTGTCGTGGTTATTGTTGTGGTTATTGTCGTGGCCATTGTCGTGGTCATTGCCGCGGCCATTGCCGTGGTCATTGTCGTGGTCATTGTCGTGGCCATTGTTGTGGTCATTGTCGTGGTCATTGTCGTGGCCATTGTCGTGGTCATTGTCGTGGTCATTGTCGCGGCCATTGCCGTGGTCATTGTCGTGGTCATTGTCGTGGTCATTGTCGTGGCCATTGTCGTGGTCATTGTCGTGGTCATTGTCGTGGTCATTGTCGTGGTCATTGCTGTGGCCATTGTCGTGGTCATTGTCGTGGCCATTGTCGTGGTCATTGTCGTGGTCATTGTCGTGGTCATTGTCGCGGCCATTGCCGCGGCTGCCGTGTACGTGCCCCTGATCGCCGGCCATCGCCGTCGTGTCCGGCGGCTGTCGACCCGCGGCCGCCGCAGTGTACGTGTCCCTGACGTGCGCCTTCCGCTACGGCCGGGACGACTTCGAGGTGATCGGCATCCCGTTCCGGCGCGACATCCACGTGACCCACCGGCAGGCCATTGTCGTGGTTATTGGTGTGGTTATTGTTGTGGTTATTGTCGTGGTCATTGTTGTGGTTATTGTCGTGGCCATTGTCGTCGTTATTGTCGTGGTCATTGTCGTGGTCATTGTCGTGGTCATTGTTGTGGTTATTGTTGTGGTCATTGTCGTGGTTATTGTCGTGGTCATTGTCGTGGTTATTGTCGTGGTTATTGTCGTGGTTATTGTTGTGGTCATTGTCGTGGTTATTGTCGTGCTCATTGTTGTGGTCATTGTTGTGGTTATTGTCGTGGTCATTGTTGTGGTTATTGTCGTGGTCATTGTCGTGGTCATTGTCGTGGTTATTGTTGTGGTCATTGTCGTGGTCATTGTCGTGGCCATTGTCGTGGTTATTGTCGTGGTCATTGTCGTGGTCATTGTCGTGGTTATTGTCGTGGTTATTGTCGTGGTTATTGTCGTGGTCATTGTCGTGGTCATTGTCGTGGTCATTGTCGTGGTCATTGTCGTGGTCATTGTTGTGGTCATTGTCGTGGTTATTGTCGTGGTCATTGTCGTGGTTATTGTTGTGGTCATTGTCGTGGTTATTGTCGTAGTCATTGTCGTGGTCATTGTTGTGGTCATTGTCGTGGTTATTGTCCTGGTCATTGTCGTGGTCATTGTTGATGTTATTGTTGTGGTTATTGTTGTGGTTATTGTCGTGGTCATTGTCGTGGTCATTGTTGTGGTTATTGTCGTGGTTATTGTTGTGGTCATTGTCGTGGTTATTGTTGTGGTTATTGTCGTGGTCATTGTCGTCGTCATTGTTGTGGTTATTGTCGTGGTTATTGTTGTGGTCATTGTCGTGGTTATTGTTGTGGTTATTGTCGTGGTTATTGTCGTGGTCATTGTCGTGGTCATTGTCGTGGTCATTGTCGTGGTCATTGTCGTGGCCATTGTTGTCATTGTCGTGGCCATTGTCGTGGTCATTGTCGTGGTTATTGTTGTGGTTATTGTCGTGGCCATTGTCGTGGTCATTGCCGCGGCCATTGCCGTGGTCATTGTCGTGGTCATTGTCGTGGCCATTGTTGTGGTCATTGTCGTGGTCATTGTCGTGGCCATTGTCGTGGTCATTGTCGTGGTCATTGTCGCGGCCATTGCCGTGGTCATTGTCGTGGTCATTGTCGTGGTCATTGTCGTGGCCATTGTCGTGGTCATTGTCGTGGTCATTGTCGTGGCCATTGTCGTGGCCATTGTCGTGGCCATTGTCGTGGCCATTGTTGTGGTCATTGTCGCGGCCATTGCCGCGGCCATTGCCGCGGCCATTGCCGCGGCCATTGCCGCGGCTGCCGTGTACGTGCCCCTGATCGCCGGCCATCGCCGTCGTGTCCGGCGGCTGTCGACCCGCGGCCGCCGCAGTGTACGTGTCCCTGACGTGCGCCTTCCGCTACGGCCGGGACGACTTCGAGGTGATCGGCATCCCGTTCCGGCGCGACATCCACGTGACCCACCGGCAGCTGTACCCACCATGCCAGGGGCCGCCGGCGACGGCCGCCGCCACGTCCCTGCAGGACCGCCTCCTGAACAAGCTGGGCGGCACGGCCTACCCCTTCAGCTTCAGCGTGAGTGGGGCCCCCCGGGGGGGTGCGACACCGCGGGCAGATATCGCGGTCGACCGCCGGAGGCAACTACCGTAGTGAGGCCCACCGCCACAGTGGACTTCGGTAGTGAACCACCACAGCGGACTTCCGTAGTGAACTTCCATAGTGAACTTCCATAGTGAATTACCGTAGTGGACTTCCATAGTGAACTTCCGTAGTGAATTACCACAGTGGACTTCCATAGTGAACTTCCATAGTGAACTTCCATAGTGAACCACCACAGTGAACTTCCATAGTGAACTTCCATAGTGAACTTCCATAGTGAACCACCACAGTGGACTTCCATAGTGAACTTCCATAGTGAACTTCCATAGTGAACTTCCATAGTGAACCATCACAGTGAACTTCCATAGTGAACTTCCATAGTGAACTTCCATAGTGAACCACCACAGTGAACTTCCATAGTGAACTTCCATAGTGAACTTCCATAGTGAACCATCACAGTGAACTTCCATAGTGAACTTCCATAGTGAACTTCCATAGTGAACCACCACAGTGAACTTCCATAGTGAACTACCACAGTGGACTTCGGTAGTGAACCACCACAGTGAACTTCCGTAGTGAACTTCCATAGTGAACTTCCATAGTGAACTTCCATAGTGAACTTCCATAGTGAACCACCACAGTGAACTTCCATAGTGAACTTCCATAGTGAACTTCCATAGTGAACCACCACAGTGAACTTCCATAGTGAACTTCCATAGTGAACTTCCATAGTGAACCATCACAGTGAACTTCCATAGTGAACTTCCACAATGAACTTCCATAGTGAACTACCACAGTGGACTTCTATAGTGAACTACCACAGTGGACTTCCATAGTGAACTACCACAGTGGACTTCCATAGTGAACTTCCATAGTGAACTTCCATAGTGAACCATCACAGTGAACTTCCATAGTGAACCACCACAGTGAACTTCCATAGTGAACTTCCATAGTGAACTTCCATAGTGAACTTCCACAATGAACTTCCATAGTGAACTACCACAGTAGAATTTCATAGTGAACTACCACGGTAGACTTCCATAGTGAACTTCCACAGTAGACTTCCATAGGGAACTACCACAGTGGACTTCCATAGTGAACTACCACAGTAAACTTCCATAGTGAACCACCACAGTGAACTTCCATAGTGAACTTCCATAGTGAACTTCCATAGTGAACCATCACAGTGAACTTCCATAGTGAACTTCCATAGTGAACCACCACAGTGAACTTCCATAGTGAACTTCCATAGTGAACTTCCATAGTGAACCATGACAGTGAACTTCCATAGTGAACCACCACAGCGGACTTCCATAGTGAACTAACATAGTGGACTACGGTAGTGAACTACCATGGTGAACAATCACAGTGGACTTCCGTAGTGAACTACCACAGTGGACTTCCATAGTGAACAATCACAGTGGACTTCCATAGTGAACTACCACAGTAGACTTCCATAGTGAACTACCACAGTAGACTTCCATAGTGAACTACCACAGTGGACTTCCATAGTGAACTACCACAGGAGACTTCCATAATGAACTACCACAGTGGACTTCAATAGTGAACTACCACAGTGGACTTCCATAGTGAACTACCACAGGAGACTTCCATAGTGAACTACCACAGTAGACTTCCATAATGAACTGCCACAGCGGACTTCCATAGTGAACTACCACAGTAGACTTCCATAGTAAACTACCATAGTGGACTTCCATAGTGAACTACCACAGTAGACTTCCATGGTGAACTACCACAGTAGACTTCCATAGTGAACTACCACAGTAGACTTCCATAGTGAACTACCACAGTAGACTTCTATAGTGAACTACCACAGTGGACTTCCATAGTAAACTACCATAGTGGACTTCAATGGTGAACTACCACAGTGGACTTCCATAGTGAACTACCACAGTAGACTTCCACGGTGAACTACCACAGTGGACTTCCATAGTGAACTACCACAGTAGACTTCCACGGTGAACTACCACAGTAGACTTCCATAGTGAACTACCACAGTAGACTTCCATAGTGAACTACCACAGTGGACTTCCATAGTGAACTACCACAGTAGACTTCCATAGTGAACTACCACAGTAGACTTCTATAGTGAACTACCACAGTAGACTTCTATAGTGAACTACCACAGTAGACTTCCATAGTGAACTACCACAGTGGACTTCCATAGTGAACTACCACAGTAGACTTCCATAGTGAACTACTACAGTAGACTTCCATAGTGAACTACCACAGTGGACTTCCATAGTGAACTACCACAGTAGACTTCCATAGTGAACTACCACAGTAGACTTCCATAGTGAACTTCCATAGTGAACTACCACAGTAGACTTCCATAGTGAACTACCAGAGTGGACTTACATAGTGAACTACCACAGCAGACTTCCATAGTGAACTACCACAGCAGACTTCCATAGTGAACTACCACAGTGGACTTCCATAGTGAACTACCACAGTAGACTTCCATAGTGAACTACCACAGTAGACTTCCATGGTGAACTACCTCAGTAGACTTCCATGGTGAACTACCACAGTAGACTTCCATGGTGAACTACCACAGTAGACTTCCATAGTGAACTACCACAGTGGACTTCCATAGTGAATTACCACAGTGGACTTCCATAGTGAACTGCCACAGTAGACTTCCATAGTGAACTACCAGAGTGGACTTCCATAGTGAACTACCACAGTGGACTTCCATAATGAACTACCACAGTGGACTTCAATAGTGAACTTCCATAGTGGACTTCCATAGTGAACTACCATAGTGAACTGCCACAGTAGACTTCCATAATGAACTACCACAGTGGACTTCCATAGTGAACTACCACAGTGGACTTCCATAGTGAACTACCACAGTGGACTTCCATAGTGAACTACCACAGTGGACTTCCATAGTGAACTACCACAGTGGACTTCCATAGTGAACTACCATAGTGAACTTCCATAGTGAACTACCACAGTGGACTTCCATAGTGAACTACCACAGTAGACTTCCATAGTGAACTACCACAGTAGACTTCCATAGTGAACTACCACAGTAGACTTCCATGGTGAACTACCACAGTAGACTTCCATAGTGAACTACCACAGTAGACTTCCATAGTGAACTACAACAGTGGACTTCCATAGTGAACTACCACAGTAGACGTCCATGGTGAACTACCACAGTAGACTTCCATAGTGAACTACAACAGTGGACTTCCATAGTGAACTACCACAGTAGACTTCCATGGTGAACTACCACAGTAGACTTCCATAGTGAACTACCAGAGTGGACTTCCATAGTGAACTACCACAGTGGACTTCCATAGTGAACTACCACAGTAGACTTCCATAGTGAACTACCACAGTGGACTTCCATAGTGAACTTCCACAGTGGACTTCCATAGTGAACTACCACAGTAGACTTCCATAATGAACTACCACAGTGGACTTAAATAGTGAACTACCACAGTGGACTTCCATAGTGAACTACCACAGTGGACTTCCATGGTGAACTACCACAGTGGACTTCCATAGTGAACTACCACAGTAGACTTCCATAGTGAACTACCATAGTGAACTTCCATAGTGAACTACCACAGTGGACATCCATAGTGAACTACCACAGCAGACTTCCATGGTGAACTACCACAGCAAGCTTCCATAGTGAACTACCACAGTGGACTTCCATAGTGAACTACCACAGTAGACTTCCATAGTGAACTACCACAGTAGACTTCCATGGTGAACTACCACAGTAGACTTCCATAGTGAACTACCACAGTAGACTTCCATAGTGAACTACCACAGTGGACTTCCATAGTGAACTACCACAGTAGACTTCCATAATGAACTACCACAGTGGACTTCAATAGTGAACTACCACAGTGGTCTTCCATAGTGATCTATCACAGTGGACTTCCATAGTGAACTACCACAGTGGACTTCCATAGTGAAATACCACAGTGGACTTCCATAGTGAACTACCACAGTGGACTGCCATGGTGAACTACCACAGTAGCCTTCCATAGTGAACTACCACAGTGGACTTCCATAGTGAACTACCACAGTAGACTTCCATAGTGAACTTCCATAGTGAACTACCACAGTAGACTTCCATAGTGAACTACCAGAGTGGACTTACATAGTGAACTACCACAGTAGATTTCCATAGTGAACTACCACAGTAGCCTTCCATGGTGAACTACCACAGTGGACTTCCATGGTGAACTACCACAGTGGACTTCCATAGTGAACTACCACAGTGGACTTCCATAGTGAACTACCACAGTAGACTTCCATAGTGAACTTCCATAGTGAACTACCACAGTAGACTTCCATAGTGAACTACCAGAGTGGACTTACATAGTGAACTACCACAGTAGATTTCCATAGTGAACTACCACAGCAGACTTCCATAGTGAACTACCACAGCAAGCTTCCATAGTGAACTACCACGGTGGACTTCCATAGAGAACTACCACAGTAGACTTCCATGGTGAACTACCTCAGTAGACTTCCATAGTGAACTACCACAGTAGACTTCCATAGAGAACTACCACAGTAGACTTCCATGGTGAACTACCTCAGTAGACTTCCATAGTGAACTACCACAGTGTACTTCCATAGTGAACTACCACAGTGGACTTCCATAGTGAACTACCACAGCAGACTTCCATAGTGAACTAAAACAGTGGACTTCCATGGTGAACTACCACAGTAGACTTCCATAGTGAACTACCACAGTGGACTTCCATAGTGAACTACCACAGTGGACTTCCATAGTGAACTACCACAGTAGACTTCCATAGTGAACTTCCACAGTGGACTTCCATAGTGAACTACCACAGTGGACTTCCATAGTGAACTACCACAGTAGACTTCCATAGTGAACTACCACAGTGGACTTCCATAGTGAACTTCCACAGTGGACTTCCATGGTGAACTACCACAGTAGACTTCCATAGTGAACTACCACAGTAGACTTCCATAGTGAACTACCACAGCGGGCTTCCATAGTGAACTACCACAGTAGACTTCTATAGTGAACTACCACAGTAGACTTCTATAGTGAACTACCACAGTAGACTTCCATAGTGAACTACCACAGTAGACTTCCATAGTGAACTACCACAGTAGACTTCTATAGTGAACTACCACAGTAGACTTCCATAGTGAACTACCACAGCGGGCTTCCATAGTGAACTACCACAGTGGACTTCCATAGTGAACTACCACAGTAGACTTCCATAGTGAACTACCACAGTAGACTTCCATGGTGAACTACCACAGTAGACTTCCATAGTGAACTACCACAGTAGACTTCCATGGTGAACTACCACAGTAGACTTCCATAGTGAACTACCACAGTAGACTTCCATAGTGAACTACCACAGCGGACTTCCATAGTGAACTACCGTACCACATAGATCCCGCACTTTCCCTTACAGCCCTCGAGGCTACCTGGGGCACCTTTGTCTTTGTGTCCCTCCCCCACCGCCTTTGTCTTCCCTCCCCCCCCCCCACAGATGCCCCAGAACTTGCCCTGCTCAGTCACCATGCAGCCGGCTCCCAGCGACAAGGACAAGGCGAGTGGGTGCCCTGTTCACTCCACTGCTGGATGGGGAGAGAGGGGGAGGGGTGGAGGAGGGGAGGGGGGTAGAGGTGGGTGGGGGGGGAGGGGTAGAGAAGGAGGGAGGTGTGGAGGAGGGGGAGGGGTGGAGGAGGGGGAGGGGTGGAGGAGGGGGAGGGGTGGAGGAGGGGGAGGGAGTGGGGAGTGGAGGAGGGGTGGAGGAGGAAGGGGAGGAGGGGTGGAGGAGGGGGGTAGGGGAGTAGAGGTGGGTGGGGGGGGTAGAGAAGGGGGGAGGGGTGGACGAGGAGTGGAGGAGGAGGGGGGGGAGTAGAAAAGGGGGAGGAGTGAAGGAGGGGGAGGGGTGGAGGAGGAGTGAAGGAGGGGGGGGAATGGAGGAGGGGGGTGGGTGGAGGGGGAGGGGTGGAGGGGGAGTGGAGGAGGGGGAGTGGGTTGGGGGAGGGGTGGAGGAGGAGGGGGGGAGTAGAGAAGGGGGGAGGGGTGGAGGAGGAGGGGGAGGGAGTGGGGAGTGGAGGAGGAGGGGGTTAGGGGGGTAGAGAAGGGGGGAGGGTGGAGAAGGAGGGGGCGGGTGGAGGAGGAGTGGAGGAGGGGGAGGGGTGGAGTACGGGGGGGGGGGAGAAAGGGGCGGGGTAGCTGAGGGGGCGTGGGGGGGAGGGGTTTGGGGAGCCACTCGGGTCACCTGGGGCTGTCTGCCAGCGATCTTCCCAGCTCAGTGTCACACTCCTGTACACACACATACACATACACGTGTGTGTATGTGTGTGTATATGTGTATGTGTGTGTGAGTGTATGTGTGTATGTGAATGTGTGTGTGTATGTGTGTGTGAGTGTATGTGTGTATGTGTATGTGTGAGTGTGTGTATGTGTGTGTATGTATGTGTATGTGTGTGTGTGTATGTGTGTGTGTGTATGTGTGTGTATGTGTGTGTGTGTGTCTGTGTGTGTGTGTGTATGTGTGTATACCCAGGCAGGTGCTTAGTTTTGGTGGGGCTGATGGTAAGGCCCCACCTCTTAGTGGCACGCTCCAGTCTCAGCAGCAGCGTCTCCAACTCCTCCTCTGACTGAGCAGCTATTACCAAGTCATCAGCATACATAACGTGGTTGAGCAATAGGGAGCCATCCCTTGACCGCACCCGGGCATCGATTAGCCTCCCATTATATCTGTACCATATGGAGATTCCCCCGGTACAGCTATTGAAGGCTTCACGAACTACGTGGTCAAAATAGATGTTAAATAATGTGGGAGCCAGAGGACATCCCTGTCGCACCCCAAGGTGTACAGGGAATGGCTCTGACTCCCGGCCACGTAGTTTTACCCGGGCCCGCTCACCATCATGAAGGTCCTTAATGATGGTGAGCGGAGGGTCAGGTACTCCAAAAGCACGAAGAACGACCCAGAGCCCAGGCCTACTGATGGTATCATAGGCCTTGACCAGGTCAATAAAGCAGAGATGTAGGTCTTGTTGGAATTCCCTACACCTCTGCTGTAGCAGACGGACAGAAAATATGGCATCTGTGCAGGACCGCCCTTTCCTGAAACCGCATTGGGGCTCCGCAAGCCTCTCCTCAGCGTGCCTGGCAAGGCGATGCTGAATAATCCTTGCCAGGACCTTTCCCGGCACACTGAGGAGTGAGATGCCCCTGTAGTTGTTACAGTCTGTGCGGTCCCCCTTCTTAAAAAGGGGGACCACCAGGGCATCCTTCCAATCCTGCGGAATCTGTCCAGTGGTCCAGACTGTTGTTATGATGTCATATAGGGCAGTCTGTGCACAAACGCCACCCTCCCTCAGCATTTCGCTTGGGAGATCATCTCTGCCCGCTGCCTTTCCTGGTCTCAGATTCCGGATCGCCTTCAATACTTCCTCAGCAGATGGCACCTCAGCCAGCCACTCACAGGGGGTGACTTCATCCAATATTTGAGGCACCGCAGCCTCAGCAGGGTCATCCTCACTTTGTGCCACGGTGTTTTCCTGGCTGAGGGATTTTCTCTCCCCCAGGACCTCACAGAAATGCTCAGCAAATCTGCGAACCTGTTCCTGGGGGTCGGAAATTGGATCACCGTTTTTTCCCCTAATGATGGTAATAGGTGTGGCGCTGCAGGTTACTTTTTTGATGGAGTTAAATAGAGATTTGTGATCACGGGCCACTGAGGCAGACTCCATCTCCTCAGCAACCCGCGACCACCACCCATCCTTGCAGCGCCTCACGGCTCTCCGAACCTCCGAGCGAAGGCTGCGGTAAGCCTCCTCATTCTCTGACGTGGGATTCTGTAGCCGATGACAGTGGGCCTGTCGCTTTTTCTCAACCATCCTGAACAACTCCTCTGTCATCCAGGGTGTCTGGGGAGGTCTGGACCGCGTACCCAAAGCAGCCATTGCTGCTGCATGAGTCACAGTCCTAAACCTCGCCCATTTAACCTCGACATCAGGAGGAGTCGGGGACGATGCCAATCCCAGCCGCAAGCGATGATGAAATTCTCGCTTGCAACTTTCATCAGATAACTGAGACCAGGCCACTTTAGGTTGGAATGGGGTCCTGGGTGTACACCCACCACCAGAGTGGAAGAATGGCAGGCGCATCTTACAGATGACTAGTCGATGGTCAGAGGGCAGATCAGCTCCACGGTAGGTCCTGGTGTCAAGGACATGGGCTCGCATTCGCTGGTCCGTCACTATGTAGTCCAGCAGATGTTCTTGCTTGGACCCGGCATGCATCCATGATGTTGTGTGGATGCGCCGATGCCGGAACAGCGTGTTGGTAATTACAAGCCCATGGGCTGCACAAAAATCTAGCAGCCTCCTACCGTTGTTATTGAGCTGATCTGGCCCATGCCCTCCAATCACTCCAGACCAAGTGCCAGTATCATGACCAACTCGGGCATTGAAGTCACCCAACATGATGACTCTATCCCGAGGGGCCACTTTAGCCAGCACCTGTGACAGGAGGTCATAGAAGGCATCTGACTCATCGGCTTTGCCTGCATCCCTCCACGGATGTTCATCTTCGGTGGGGGCATAAGTAACCACGACCACCATTCCTCGCCTCCGGTTGATGGGAAGGCGAGCCCAAAGTAGCCTGGGGCTTACAGCTTCCCACACCTCACCGCCACGCTCCCACGCCCCCTTCATTCTTTTGTTCAAAAGAAGACCCACACCCTGTTGTTTGGCAGTCTGCTTCCCCGAGTAGAGGACTGTCCACCCCTCATGGTGGCAGGAGCCAGAGCCGGTCCACCGGACCTCCTGAATGCCGCATAGATCCAGGCGGTACCGGTCCAGCTCCCGACAGAGGAGTGGCAGCCTCTCCTCTGCAGTGAGCGTTCGAACATTCCACGTGGCCACCCGTAGTGGCTTTTCGTTGTTTCTGGAGTAGCCCCGAGGGTAGGTATTCAATCTCCTGGCTCCGCCAATTGGGGTTTGGCCAGGAGACGTCATAGACGCCTGGCCCCCCGGGGCCTCCGGCACAAGCTTAGTTGTTACATATTTCAGTTTAATTCGTGGTTTCGTGGTAATTAATTGAAGGTGGAGGGGTTACCAGCCCCTCGCACCCGTCCAGAGCCCCCGTTTAGCCCCTGTGGTGGACACATATGCCATGAGGGGAGGAGCCAATCAAAATTGGATCTCCCCCCACAGCGCTGTCCACGACAGAGTTGCCCGTCCGGCACCGCGAGGAGGTAGGGGGTTGTTTTGCCGGAGGCAGTCGCCCTCCAACAACAACGGAGGGCGGAGGAGCGACGCTCACAACAGCGAGCGGAGCGCCGGGTGGCTAAAGCACAGCAGGTTGGCACAGTAGGGGGCACAGGTGGTGCATCAGCCAGTCATCTCAGTCATCTCAGTCAGTCGACCCGTGGCACCTGGGTCTGCCCCGTGACCACCTGCCAGCGGGCGTTCGACACTTCACGTGGCCTCAGGGTGCACATAGCCTGGCACAAGCGTCGTGGTGACGTCACCGCCACTTAGTGGCGAATGGCGGTTGTTGTATGTGTGTGTATGTGTGTGTATGTGTGTGTGTGTATGTGTGTGTGTATGTGTGTGTGTATGTGTGTGTATGTGTGTGTGTATGTGTGTGTGTGTGAGTGTGTGTATGTGTGTATGTGTGTGTATGTGTGTGTGTGTATGTGTGTGTATGTGTGTGTGTATGTGTGTGAGTGTGTGTGTATGTGTGTATGTGTTTCCCATACCTGGGCAGTGTGCTTATGACTGGCTCCAGTTTAACAGCAGAGGTCTCACTCCGAATCAGTCGAGTGGCAATATCTTTTCATCGGTTGCGTAACGCTGTGTGGAAGCTACCTGGTCTGTCGCTCCGCACTAAGCTTCAGGCCTTCTCGGCCACGGTCATTCCCTCCCTTCTCTACGCTTGCGAAACGTGGACCCCCCTAATGGAACATCTTCGCCGGTTGGAAACATTTAGGCTGGCCTGCCTACGATCCATCCTGGGTTTAACCAGACTGGATTGTGTGAGGAGCTCACAAATCCTTGAAAGATCTGGGCAGGGTCCCATCGGTGAGCTCCTCCGGCGGGCAAGGCTGCGATGGCTGGGTCATGTAGCCCGCATGCCCAGCCACCGCATGCTGAAACAGCTTTTGTTCGGCCGGATCGAGGGGGCTAAACGGGCGCGGCACGGGCTAGAGAAGAGATGGAGTGATGTGGTTCAGGAGGACGTGGAGCTGAGTGGACTTGCCAATGACTGGTACCAGCGGTGTCAAGATCGGCCTCTGTGGAGGAGGCTCGTGAAGGACGCTACTGGGCAGTTGGAGGCGGTCGCCCTCCAACAACAACGGAGGGCGGAGGAGCGACGCTCACAACAACGAGCAGAGCGCCGGGTGGCTAAAGCACAGCAGGTTGGCACAGTAGGGGGCACAGGTGGTGCATCAGCCAGTCATCTAAGTCAGTCGACCCGTGGCACCTGGGTCTGCCCCGTGACCTCCTGCCAGCGGGCGTTCGACACTTCACGTGGTAGCCTCAAGGTGCACATGGCCTGGCACGAGCGTCGTGGTGACGTCACCGCCACTTAGTGGCGAATGGCGGTTGTTATTGTATGTGTGTGTGTATGTGTGTGTATGTGTGTGTATGTATGTGTGTGTATGTATGTGTATATGTGTGTGTGTATGTATGTGTGTATGTGTGTGTATGTATGTGTTTGCGTGTGTGTGTTTGCTCGTGTGTGTGTTTGCCTGTGTGTGTGTGTTTACGTGTGTGTTTGCGTGTGTTTGTATGTGTATGTATGTGTGTGTATGTGTGTGTATTTGTGTATGTGTGTATGTGTGTGTATATGTGTGTGTATGTGTGTATGTGTGTGTATGTGTGTATGTGTATGTATGTGTGTGTATGTGTATATGTGTGTGTGAGTAGGGGAGAGCGGTGGGTGTAGTGGTTAGCGCTACGCTGCACCACGAACCTGGCGACCCGGCTTCGATTCCCGCTCACGGCAAACACCGGTGACGATTATCTGAACCGTTCCTGGGCCTTCCCTAGGTCGACTCAGCCTCAAACGAGTAGCTGGTGTAACGGTAGGGAGACAAAGGCGGCCGGGCGTGGTGCTGGTAGCCACCCAACCCCCTCGTGTGCCACAGTGCCGGTAGCCTTCACAGGTGCTGCTCGCTAACAGCACTTGCCCCTACAGCCTGTTAGAGGCTACACGGGGGACCTTTGTCTGTCTACCTTCACAGGTGCTGCTGCTACTCGCTACTCACAGCACTTGCCCCTACAGCCTGTTAGAGGCTACACGGGGGACCTTTGTCTGTGTCTACCTTCACAGGTGCTGCTACTCGCTACTAACAGCACTTGCCCCTACAGCCTGTTAGAGGCTACACGGGGGACCTTTGTCTGTGTCTACCTTCACAGGTGCTGCTGCTACTCACAGCACTTGCCCCTACAGCCTGTTAGAGGCTACACGGGGGTCCTTTGTCTTTGCAGCTGCGAGTCTGTGTCAGCTGCTACTGGCTAACAGCACTTGCCCCTCAATTAGCATTGAAGGCTACCTGGGGGGGGGTACCCTTTGTGCTTTATCTTTGGCTGCTGCAGTCCTGCGGAGTGGACTTCGAGGTGAAGGCGTTCTGCTGCGAGAAACTGGACGAAGACATCAAGAAGAAGTGAGTGGGGGGGGGTGGAGAGACAAAGGCGGCCGAGCGCGGCGGTTGTGGTGGTGATGGTGGTGGTGGTGGTCCTAGACACCCACATCACCGCACCGCCATAGCTGTTAACCACTCATCTTCTTACAGATCGATTCAGACACTTGTTGGTCAACCCCGTGGTGCCCGTCATGGATCTCAACAATGTTCATCCTTAACTAAGTCCCCATCACAAGGGAGACACACAAACAGACATTGGAGTCTACGGGGAGGATTTAACATTGGGGTCTATGGGGAGGATTTAACATTGGAGTCTACGGGGAGAATTAAACATTGGAGTCTACGGGGAGGATTTAACATTGGAGTCTACGGGGAGGATTTAACATTGGAGTCTACGGGGAGGATTTAACATTGGAGTCTACGGGAGAATTTAACATTGGAGTCTATGGGGAGAATTTAACATTGGAGTCTATGGGGAGACTTTAACATTGGAGTCTATGGGGAGAATTTAACATTGGAGTCTATGGGGAGAATTTAACATTGGAGTCTAAGGGAGACTTTAACATTGGAGTCTACGGGGAGACTTTAACATTGGAGTCTATGGGGAGAATTTAACATTGGAGTCTACGGGAAGAATTTAACACTGGAGTCTATGGGGATACTTTAACATTGGAGTCTATGAGAGACTTTAACATTGGAGTCTATGGGGATAATTTAACATTGGAGTCCATGGGGAGACTTTAACATTGGAGTCTATGGGAGACTTTAACATTGGAGTCTATGGGGAGAATTTAACATTGGAGTCTATGGGGATAATTTAATATTGGAGTCTATTGGAGACTTTAACATTGGAGTCTACGGGGAGACTTTAACATTGGAGTCTATGGGGAGAATTTAACATTGGAGTCTATGGGGAGGCTTTAACATTGGAGTCTATGGGGAGGATTTAACATTGGAGTCTATGGGGTGGATTTAACATTGGAGTCTATGGGGATAATTTAACATTCGAGTCTATGGGGAGACTTTAACATTGGAGTCTACGGGGAGACTTTAACATTGGAGTCTACGGGGAGACTTTAACATTGGAGTCTACGGGGAGAATTTAACACTGGAGTCTATGGGGAGAATTTAACACTGGAGTCTATGGGGAGACTTTAACATTGGAGTCTATGGGGAGACTTTAACATTGGAGTCTATGGGGAGAATTTAACATTGGAGTCTATGGGGATAATTTAATATTGGAGTCTATGGGGATAATTTAATATTGGAGTCTATGGGGAGAATTTAACATTGGAGTCTATGGGGGACTTTAACATTGGAGTCTTCGGTGAGACTTTAACATTGGAGTCTATGGGGAGAATTTAACATTGGAGTCTACGGGGAGAATTTAACACTGGAGTCTATGAGAGACTTTAACGTTGGAGTCTATGGGGATAATTTAACATTGGAGTCCATGGGGAAACTTTAACATTGGAGTCTATGGGAGGCTTTAACATTGGAGTCTATGGGAGAATTTAACATTGGAGTCTACGGGGAGGATTTAACATTGGAGTCTATGGGGAGAATTTAACATTGGAGTCTATGGGGAGAATTTAACATTGGAGTCTATGGGGAGGCTTAAACATTGGAGCCTACGGGGAGGATTTAACATTGGAGTCTATGGGGAGGATTTGACATTGAAGTCTACGGGGAGAATTTAACATTGGAGTCTATGGGGAGGATTTAACATTGGAGTCCATGGGGAGACTTTAACATTGGAGTCTATGGGAGGCTTTAACATTGGAGTCTATGGGGAGAATTTAACATTGGAGTCTATGGGGAGAATTTAACATTGGAGTCTACGGGGAGGATTTAACATGGAGTCTATGGGAAGACTTTAACATTGGAGTCTATGGGGAGAATTTAACATTGGAGTCTATGGGGAGAATTAAACATTGGAGGCACCTAGCACAAATCAAACAGGAGAATTTAGCATTGAAATAACTAGGCGATTTGCACTAGGTGCCTCTGTGAATGTATATGCTCTGACTTTAACATAGCCATTTCTGTGACCAGTCACAAGCTAATCACTCAGCCATTTCAATGCTAAATTCTATGCTAATTCCTTTGTCAAGGCGCTTTGTTTCTTCTCACATAGCTTAAAGGTCGCGATCTGAGCGTGGCTTTTTCACTCCAGCGCTGTCCTCCAGACAGTCTCGTCCCTTCACCTGAAGAAGGCCGCTTGTGTTGTCGCCGAAACGTCGTGAGAATATTAGTGCGTAATTTAATTTTATCAATTTATTATTTTATTCTCATTCTACGTGGTGACTTTACCGAAAGAACCAAAGAAGATTAATCCTTGCAGTCACGAAAGCTTCAAATCGATGATGATGATAATGCTGCTGATGATGATGTTGCTGATGTTAATGATGATGATGATGTTGATGATGTTCGTGATGATGTTGATGATGATGATGTTGATGATGTTGATGTTGATGATGATGATGTTGATGATGTTGATGATGATGATGTTGATGATGTTGATGATGGTGCCGTGTGGAGACACTCGGTGAGTCTGCTGATCAGGAAGGTTCAGTTCGCGCCGGAGAAGCCCGGGATCAGTCCGTCCGGGATCGCCACCGTGGACTCGGACTCCCCCGTCACGCTAGACGCCTCCCTGGACAAGGAGGTGACCCCCTCACTTACTCACCTACTCACTCACCTACACACTCACCTACTCACCTACACACTCACCTACACACTCACCTACACACTCACCTACACACTCACCTACACACTCACCTACTCACCTACACACTCACCTACTCACTCACCTACTCACTCACCTACTCACCTACACACTCACCTACTCACTCACCTACACACTCACCTACACACTCACCTACACACTCACCTACTCACCTACACACTCACCTACTCACTCACCTACATACTCACCTACTCACCTACACACTCACCTACTCACCTACACAATCACCTACTCAAAGACCTACTCACCTACACACTCACCTACTCACCTACACACTCACCTACTCACTCACCTACACACTCACCTACTCACCTACTCACTCACCTACTCACTCACCTACACACTCACCTACACACTTACCCACTCACTCACCTACACACTCACCTACACACTCACCTACTCACTCACCTACTCACCTACACACTCACCTACTCACTCACCTACACACTCACCTACACACTCACCTACTCACTCACCTACTCACCTACACACTCACCTACTCACTCACCTACATACTCACCTACTCACCTACACACTCACCTACACACTCACCTACTCAAAGACCTACTCACCTCCACACTCACCTACTCACCTACACACTCACCTACTCACTCACCTACACACTAACCTACTCACAGACCTACTCACCTACACACTCACCTACTCACCTACACACTCACCTACTCACCTACAAACTCACCTACTCACTCACTCACTCACCTACTCACCTACACACTCAACTACTCACCTACACACTCACCTACACACTCACCTACTCACAGACCTACTCACCTACTCACCTACACACTCACCTCACCTACACACTCACCTACTCACCTACACACTCACCTACTCACCTACACACTCACCTACTCACCTACACACTCACCTACCCACCTATAGCACTCACCTACTCACTCACCTACCTAGACACTCACCTACTCACTCACCTACTCACCTACTCACTCACTCACCTATACACCCACTTACACACTCACCTACTCACTCACCTACTCACTCACCTATACACTCACCTACACACTCACCTGCTCAACTACACACTCACCTACTCACTCACCTACACACTCACCTACACACTTACCTACTCACTCACCTACTCACTCACCTACACACTCACCTACACACTCACCTACTCACCTACGCACTCACCTACACACTCACATACTCACCTACACACTCACCTACTCACCTACACACTCACCTACTCACTCACCTACAGACTCACCTACTCACTCACCTACACACTCACCTACCCACTTACCTACTCACTCACCTACTCACTCACCTACTCACCTACATACTCACCTACACACTCACCTTCACACTCACCTACTCACTCACTCACCTACTCACTCACCTATAGACTCACCTACCCCCTCACATCTCGTTGTCCCCCCTGTTTGTCCATCCCTGGTTGTCCACCCCTGGTTGTCCACCCCTGGTTGTCCACCCCTGGTTGTCCACGACCCAGGTGTACTACCACGGCCAGCCGATCAAAGTGAGCGTGGCCATCCAGAACGGCTCCAGCAAGCACGTGAAGAAGATCCGACTCACTGGTGGGTGGGGGGGAGAGGGTGGGTGGGGTGGGTGGGGGTGGGTGGCGTGGGTGGGTGGGTAGGGGTGAGAGGGTGGGTGGGGGTGGGTGGGGGGGAGAGGGTGGGTGGAGGTGGGTGGGGGTGGGTGGGGTGGGTGGGGGTGAGAGGGTGGGTGGGGGTGGGTGGGGGTGGGTGGGGGTGAGTGGGTGGGTAGGGGTGAGAGGGTGGGTGGGGGTGGGTGGGGGGGAGAGGGTGGGTAGGGGTGGGTAGGGGTGGGTGGGGGGGAGAGGGTGGGTGGGGGTGGGTGGGGGTGAGATGGTGGGTAGGTGAGTAAGTGGGTGGGTGAGTGAGTGGGTGGTGAGTGAGTGGGTAGGTGAGTGAGTGGTGAGTGAGTGGGTAGGTGAGTGAGTGGTGAGTGAGTGAGTGGGTGGTGAGTGGTGAGAGAGTGGTGAGTGGTGAGTGAGTGAGTGTGTGGTGAGTGAGTGGTGGGTGAGTGAGTGGATGAGTGAGTGTTGAGTGAGTGAGTGGTGAGTGAGCGAGTGGGTGAGTGAGTGAGTGGGTGAGTGAGTGGTGAGTGAGTGGTGGGTGAGTGAGTGGGTGAGTGAGTGTTGAGTGAGTGGTGAGTGAGCGAGTGGGTGAGTGAGTGGGTGAGTGAGTGGTGAGTGAGTGATGAGTGGTGAGTGAGTGAGTGAGTGGTGAGTGAGTGGGTGAGTGGTGAGTGTCTGGTGAGTGAGTGAGTGAGTGGTGAGTGAGTGGTGAGTGAGTGAGGGGTGAGTGAGTGGTGAGTGAGTGAGTGGTGAGTGAGTAGTGAGTGAGTGAGTGTGTGGTGAGTGAGTGGTGAGTGAGTGAGTGCTGAGTGAGTGGTGAGTGAGTGAGTAGTGAGTGGTGAGTGAGTGAGTGTCTGGTGAGTAAGTGAGTGAGTGGTGAGTGGTGAGTGGGTGAGTGGTGAGTGGTGAGTGAGTGGTGAATGAGTGGTGAGTGAGTGAGTGAGTGGTGAGTGAGTGGTGAGTGGGTGAGTGAATGGGTGAGTGGGTGAGTGGGTGAGTGAGTGGATGATTGAGTGGGTGAGCGAGTGAGTGGGTGGGCGGGTGAGTGAGTGGTGAGTGAGTGGGTGAGTGGTGATTGAGTGGGTGAGCGAGTGAGTGAGTGGGTGGGTGAGTGGGTGAGTGAGTGGTGAGTGAGCGAGTGGGTGAGTGAGTGAGTGGTGAGTGAGTGAGTGGGTGAGTGGTGAGTGAGTGGTGAGTGAGTGGTGAGTGAGTGAGTGGTAAGTGAGTGAGTGGGTGAGTGAGTGAGTGAGTGGGTGAGTGGGTGAGTGAGTGGGTGATTGAGTGGGTGAGCGAGTCAGTGGGTGGGTGAGTGGTGAGTGAGTGAGTGGTGAGTGAGTGGGTGAGTGGTGAGTGAGTGGTGAGTGAGTGGTGAGTGGGTGAGTGAGTGGTGAGTGGGCGAGTAAGTGAGTGGTGAGTGAGTGGTGAGTGGGTGAGTGAGTGAGTGGGTGGGTGGTGGGTGAGTGGTGAGTGAGTGGTGAGTGAGTGGGTGAGTGAGTGGGTGAGTGAGTGAGTGGTGAGTGAGTAGGTGAGTGAGTGAGTGAGTGGTGAGTGAGTGAGTGGTGAGTGGGTGAGTGAGTGAGGAGTGAGTGAGTGGGTGAGTGGTGAGTGAGTGGTGAGTGAGTGGTGAGTGGGTGAGTGAGTGGTGAGTGAGTGTAGAGTGAGTGGTGAGTGGGTGAGTGAGTGAGTGAGTGGTGAGTGGGTGAGTGAGTGGGTGAGTGGGTGAGTGAGTGAGTGGTGAGTGAGTGGTGAGTGGGTGAGTGAGTGGTGAGTGGGTGAGTAAGTGAGTGGTGAGTGAGTGGTGAGTGGGTGAGTGAGTGAGTGGGTGGGTGGTGAGTGAGTGGTGATTGAGTGGTGAGTGAGTGAGTGAGTGGTGAGTGAGTGGTGAGTGAGTGGTGAGTGGTTGAATGAGTGAGTGGTGAGTCAGTGAGTGAGTGGTGAGTGAGTGGTGAGTGGTTGAGTGAGTGAGTGGTAGTGAGTGAGTGAGTGGGTGAGTGAGAAGTGAGTGAGTGGTGAGTGAGTGGGTGAGTGGTGAGAGAGTGGTGAGTGAGTGGTGAGTGAGTGAGTGGGTGAGTGGTGAGTGAGTGGTGAGTGAGTGGATGAGTGAGTGGTGAGTGAGTGGTGAGTGATTGGTGAGTGAGTGAGTGAGTGGTGAGTGAGTGGTGAGTGAGTGGTGAATGGTGAGTGAGTGAGTGGGTGAGTGGGTGAGTGGTGATTGAGTGGTGAGTGAGTGGTGATTGAGTGGTGAGTGAGCGAGTGAGTGGTTGGGTGGGTAAGTGAGTGAGTGGTGAGTGAGTGAGTGGTGAGTGAGTGGTGAGTGGGTGAGTGGGTGAGTGAGGTGGGTGAGTGGTGAGTGAGTGGTGAGTGGGTGAGTGAGTGAGTGGTGAGTGAGTGGTGAGTGAGTGGGTGAGTGAGTGGGTGAGTGGGTGAGTGAGTGAGTGAGTGGTGAGTGAGTGAGTGGTGAGTGGGTGAGTGAGTGGTGAGTGAGTGGTGAGTGAGTGGTGAGTGGGTGAGTGAGTGAGTGAGTGGTGAGTGAGTGAGTGGGTGAGTGAGTGGGTGAGTGGGTGGGTGAGTGAGTGAGTGAGTGGTGAGTGAGTGAGTGGTGAGTGAGTGGTGAGTGGTGAGTGGGTGAGTGGGTGAGTGGTGAGTGAGTGGTGAGTGAGTGGTGAGTGAGTGAGTGGTGAGTGAGTGAGTGAGTGGTTGAGTGAGTGAGTGGTGAGTGAGTGGGTGAGTGAGTGAGTGAGTGGGTGGTGAGTGAGTGGTGAGTGAGTGGTGAGTGAGTGAGTGGTGAGTGAGTGGTGAGTGAGTGAGTGGGTGAGGTGTGAGTGAGTGAGTGGTGAGTGAGTGGGTGAGTGAGTGAGTGGGTGGTGAGTGAGTGGTGAGTGAGTGGTGAGTGAGTGGGTGGTGAGTGAGTGGTGAATGAGTGGTGAGTGAGTGAGTGGTGAGTGAGTGAGTGATGAGTGAGTGGTGAGTGAGTGAGTGGGTGGTGAGTGAGTGGTGAGTGAGTGAGTGGGTGAGTGGTGAGTGAGTGGTGAGTGAGTGAGTGGGTGGTGAGTGAGTGGTGAGTGAGTGGTGAGTGAGTGAGTGGGTGGTGAGTGAGTGAGTGGTGAGTGAGTGAGTGGGTGGTGAGTGAGTGGTGAGTGAGTGGTGAGTGAGTGAGTGGGTGGTGAGTGAGTGGTGAGTGAGTGAGTGGTGAGTGAGTGAGTGGGTGAGTGGTGAGTGAGTGGTGAGTGAGTGGTGAGTTTCCCGTCTTTCTTCACAGTCGATCAAATCTCAGACGTGGTTCTCTACTGCCAGGACAAATACACTAAAGTGGTGTGCAGCCTGGAGCCTGCGTACGTAGCAACACCACCACCATCACCACCATCACCACCATCACCACCATCACCACCATCACTACCACCACCATCACCACCACCACCATCACCACCACCACCATCACCACCATCACCACCATCACCACCACCACCATCACTACCACCACCATCACCACCATCACTACCACCATCACCACTACCACCATCACCACCATCACTACCATCACCATCACCACCACCATCATCACCACCATCACTACCACATCACCACCATCACCACCACCATCACCACCATCACTACCACCACCATCACCACCATCACTACCAACACCATCACCACCACCATCACCACCATCACTACCACCACCATCACCACCATCACTACCATCACCATCACCACCACCATCACCACCACCATCACCACCATCACCACCACCATCACCACCACCATCACTACCACCATCACCACCATCACTACCACCATCACCACCATCACCACCATCACCACCATCACTACCACCACCATCACCACCATCACCACCAACATCACCACCACCATCACTACCACCACCATCACCACCATCACTACCACCATCACCACTACCACCATCACCACCATCACTACCATCACCATCACCACCACCATCATCACCACCATCACTACCACATCACCACCATCACCACCACCATCACCACCATCACTACCACCACCATCACCACCATCACTACCAACACCATCACCACCACCATCACCACCATCACTACCACCACCATCACCACCATCACTACCATCACCATCACCACCACCATCACCACCACCATCACCACCATCACCACCACCATCACCACCACCATCACTACCACCATCACCACCATCACTACCACCATCACCACCATCACCACCATCACCACCATCACTACCACCACCATCACCACCATCACCACCAACATCACCACCACCATCACTACCACCACCATCACCACCATCACCACCACCATCACCACCATCACTACCACCACCATCACTACCACCACCATCACCACCATCACCACCACCATCACTACCACCATCACCACCATCAACACTACCATCACCATCACTACCACCATCACCAACACCACTACCACCATCACCACCATCACCATCACTACCACCATCACCAACACCACTACCACCATCACCACCATCACCATCACTACCACCATCACCAACACCACTACCACCATCACCACCATCACCACCACCATCACCACCACCATCACCAACATCACTACCACCATCACTACCACCATCACCACCATCACTAACACCACCATCACCACCATCACCACCACCATCACCACCACCATCACCACCACCATCACCACCATCACCACTACTATCACCACCACCATCACTACCACCACCATCACCACCATCACCACCACCATCACCACCATCACCACCACCATCACCACCACCATCACTACCACCATCACTACCACCACCATCACCACCATCACCACCACCATCACCACCATCACCACCACCATCACTACCACCATCACCACCACCATCACTACCACCATCACCACTACCATCACCATCACAACCACCATCATCACAACTACCATCACCATCACTACCACCATCACCACCACCATCACCACCACCATCACCATCAGTACCACCATCACCACCATCACTACCACCATCACCACCATCACTACCATCACCGCCATCACCACCATCACTACCACCATCACCACCATCACCACCATCACTACCACCATCACCACCACCATCACTACCACCATCACCACTACCATCACCATCACAACCACCATCATCACAACTACCATCACCATCACTACCACCATCACCACCACCATCACCACCACAACCATCAGTACCACCATCACCACCATCACTACCACCATCACCACCATCAACACCATCACCACCATCACCACCATCACTACCACCATCACCACCACCATCACCACCATCACTACCACCACCATCACTACCAACACCACTACCACCATCACCACCACCATCACTACCACCATCACCAACATCACTACCACCACCATCACCACCACCATCACTACCACCATCACCACCATCACCACCACCATCACCACTACTATCACCATCACTACCACCATCACTACTACCATCACCACCATCATCACCATCACTACCACCATCACCACCATCACTACCACCATCAACACTACCATCACTACCACCATCACTACCACCATCACTACCACCATCACCACCATCACTACCAACACCACTACCATCACCACCATCACCACCGCCATCACTACCACCATCACCACCATCACTACCACCATCACTACCACCATCACTACCACCATCACCACCATCACTACCACCATCACCGCCATCACTACCACCATCACCACCATCACCACTACCATCACCACCACTACCATCACCATCACTACCACCATCAGCACCATCACCACTACCATCACCATAACCACCACCATCACTACCACCTTCACCAACATCACTACCACCATCACCACCATCACTACCACCATCACTACCACCATCACCACCATCACTACCACCATCACTACCATCACTACCACCATCACCACCATCACTACCACCATCACCACCATCACAACCACCATCACCACCATTACCACTACCATCACCCTCACTACCACCATCACTACCACCACCACCATCACCACCACCATGAATACCACCACCATCACCACCACCATCACCACCACCATCACCACCATCACCAACACCATCACTACCACCATCACCACCACCATCACTACCACCATCACCACTACCATCACCATCACAACCACCATCATCACAACTACCATCACCATCACTACCACCATCACCACCACCATCACCACCACCACCATCAGTACCACCATCACCACCATCACTACCACCATCACCACCATCACTACCATCACCACCATCACCACCATCACTACCACCATCACCACCACCATCACTACCATCACTACCACCACCATCACTACCAACACCACTACCACCATCACCACCACCATCACTACCACCATCACCAACATCACTACCACCACCATCACCACCACCATCACTACCACCATCACCACCATCACCACCACCACCACCATCACCACTACCTTCACCATCACTACCACCATCACTACTACCATCACCACCACCATCATCACCATCACTACCACCATCACCACCATCACTACCACTATCACCACTACCATCACTACCACCATCACTACCACCATCACTACCACCATCACTACCACCATCACTACCAACACCACTACCATCACCACCACCACCACCATCACCACCACCATCACTACCACCATCACCACCATCACTACCACCATCACCACCATCACTACCACCATCACCACCATCACCACTACCATCACCCTCACTACCACCATCACTACCACCATCACCACCATCACTACCACCATCACCGCCATCACTACCACCATCACCACCATCACCACTTCCATCACCATAACCACCACCATCACTACCACCTTCACCAACATCACTACCACCATCACCACCATCACTACCACCATCACTACCACCTTCACCAACATCACTACCACCATCACTACCATCACTACCACCATCACCACCATCACTACCACCATCACCACCACCATCACTACCACCATCACCACCATCAACACTACCATCACCATCACTACCACCATCACCAACATCACTACCACCCTCAATACCACCATCACCACCATCACCACTACCATCACCATCACTACCACCATCACCACCACCATCACTACCACCATCACCACCATCACTACCAACACCATCACCATCACCATTACTACCACCATCACTACCACCATCACCACCACCATCACTTCCACCATCACCACTACCATCACCATCACTACCACCATCACCACCACCATCACCACCACCATCAGTACCACCATCACCACCATCACTACCACCATCACCACCATCACTACTATCACTACCACCATCACCACCACCATCACTACCACCACCATCACTACCAACACCACTACCACCATCACCACCACCATCACTACCACCATCACCAACATCACTACCACCACCATCACCACAACCATCACTACCACCATCACCACCATCACCACCACCATCACCACTACCATCACCACCACCATCACCACTACCATCACCATCACTACCACCATCACTACTACCATCACCACCATCACTACCAACACCACTACCATCACCACCACCACCACCACCATCACCACCACCATCACTACCACCATCACCACCATCACTACCACCATCACCACCATCACTACCACCATCACCACCATCACCACTACAATCACCCTCACTACCACCATCACTACCACCATCACCACCATCACTACCACCATCACCGCCATCACTACCACCATCACCACCATCACCACTACCATCACCACCACTACCATCACCATCACTACCACCATCACCACCATCACCACTACCATCACCATAACGACCACCATCACCACTACCTTCACCATAACTACCACCATCACTACTACCATCACCACCACCATCATCACCATCACTACCACCATCACCACCATCACTACCACCATCACCACTACCATCACTACCACCATCACTACCACCATCACTACCACCATCACTACCACCATCACCACCATCACTACCAACACCACTACCATCACCACCACCACCATCACCACCACCATCACTACCACCATCACCACCATCACTACCACCATCACCACCATCACCACCATCACCACCATCACCACTACCATCACCCTCACTACCACCATCACTACCACCATCACCACCATCACTACCACCATCACCGCCATCACTACCACCATCACCACCATCACCACTACCATCACCACCACTACCATCACCATCACTACCACCATCACCACCATCACCACTACCATCCCCATAACCACCACCATCACTACCACCTTCACCAACATCACTACCACCATCACCACCATCACTACCACCATCACCACCATCACTACCACCTTCACCAACATCACTACCACCATCACTACCATCACTACCACCATCACCACCATCACTACCACCATCACCACCACCATCACTACCACCATCACCACCATCAACACTACCATCACCATCACTACCACCATCACCACCACCATCACTACCACCATCACCACCATCACCACTACCATCACCATCACTACAACCATCACCACCACCATCACTACCACCATCACCACCATCACTACCAACACCATCACCACCACCATCACCATTACTACCACCATCACTACCACCATCACCACCACCATCACTACCACCATCACCACTACCATCACCATCACAACCACCATCATCACAACTACCATCACCATCACTACCACCATCACCACCACCATCACCACCACCATCAGTACCACCATCACCACCATCACTACCACCATCACCACCATCACTACCATCACTACCACCATCACCACCACCATCACCACCATCACTACCACCACCATCACTACCAACACCACTACCACCATCACCACCACCATCACTACCACCATCACCAACATCACTACCACCACCATCACCACCACCATCACTACCACCATCACCACCATCACCACCACCATCACCACTACCATCACCATCACTACCACCATCACTACTACCATCACCACCATCATCACCATCACTACCACCATCACCACCATCATTACCACCATCACCACTACCATCACTACCACCATCACTAACACCATCACTACTACCATCACTACCACCATCACCACCATCACTACCAACACCACTACCATCACCACCACTACCACCATCACCACCACCATCACTACCACCATCACCACCATCACTACCACCATCACCACCATCACTACCACCATCACCACCATCACTACCACCAACACCACCATCACCACTACCATCACCCTCACTACCACCATCACTACCACCATCACCACCATCACTACCACCATCACCGCCATCACTACCACCATCACCACTACCATCACCACCACTACCATCACCATCACTACCACCATCACCACCATCACCACTACCATCACCATAACCACCACCATCACTACCACCTTCACCAACATCACTACCACCATCACCACCATCACTACCACCATCACCACCATCACTACCACCATCACCACCACCATCACTACCACCATCACTACCATCACTACCACCATCACCACCATCACTACCACCATCACCACCACCATCACCACCATCACCACTACCATCACCATCACTACCACCATCACCACCACCATCACTACCACTATCACCACCATCACCACTACCATCACCATCACCACCACCATCACTACCACCATCACCACCATCACTACCAACACCATCACCACAACCATCACCATTACTACCACCATCACCACCACCATCACCACCATCACTACCACCATCACCACCATCACTACCAACACCATCACCACCACCATCACTACCACCATCACCACCACCATCACCACCATCACTACCACCATCACCACCATCACTACCAACACCATCACCACCACCATCACTACCACCATCACCACCACCATCATCAATTCCATCACCACTCTACGATGTTGTGGTTGTTGTTGTTGTGGTTGTTGTTGTTGTTGCCGTAGTTGTGGTTGCTGTTGTGATGGTTGTTGTAGTGGTTGCTTTTGCTGTAGTTGTAGTGGTGGTTGTGGTTGTAGTTGTTGTTGTTGTAGTTGTTGTAGTTGTTGTTGTAGTTGTTGTTGTAGTTGTTGTTGTAGTTGTTGTTGTAGTTGTTGTAGTTGTTGTTGTAGTAGTTGTTGTTGTAGTAGTTGTAGTAGTTGTTGTTTCAGTAGTTGTAGTAGTTGTTGTAGTAGTTGTAGTAGTTCGTTGTTGTTGTAGTAGTTCTAGTTGTGGTTGTTGTTTTTGTAGTGGTTGTTGTAGTTGTTGTTGTAGTTGTTGTGGTTGTTGTTGTAGTTGTTGTTTTAGTTGTTGTTGTAGTTCTTGTTGTAGTTGTTGTGGTTGTTGTTGTAGTTGTTGTTGTTGTAGTTGTTGTTGTAGTTGTTGTGGTTGTTGTTGTAGTTGTTGTTGTAGTTGTTGTGGTTGTTGTTGTAGTTGTTGTTGTTGTTGTAGTTGTTGTTGTAGTTGTTGTGGTTGTTGTTGTAGTTGTAGTTGTTGTGGTTGTTGTTGTGGTTGTTGTTGTGGTTGTTGTTGTAGTTGTTGTTGTAGTTGTTGTGATTGTTGTAGTTGTTGTTGTGGTGGTTGTTGTTGTAGTTGTTGTTGTAGTTTTTGTAGTTGTAGTTGTGGTTGTTGTTGTTGTGGTTGTTGTTTAGTGACGTGGTAGGCCCCAAGTCTAACCTGAGACAGGTCTACTCGCTCACTCCGCTGCTTGCGAACAACCGGGAGAAGCATGGTATAGCTCTTGACGGCAAACTCAAACACGAGGACACGAACCTGGCTTCCACCACGCTGTGAGTCATCACTCAGTCACTCACTCAGTCAGTCACTCACTCAGTCAGTCACTCAGTCACTCAGTCACTCACTCACTCAGTCACTCACTCAGTCACTCACTCAGTCAGTCACTCACTCACTCAGTCAGTCACTCAGTCACTCAGTCAGTCACTCAGTCAGTCACTCAGTCACTCACTCACTCAGTCAGTCACTCAGTCACTCAGTCACTCACTCAGTCACTCACTCACTCAGTCACTCACTCAGTCACTCACTCAGTCAGTCACTCAGTCACTCAGTCACTGACTCAGTCAGTCACTCAGTCAGTCACTCAGTCAGTCACTCACTCAGTCACTCACTCAGTCACTCAGTCACTCAATCACTCACTCAGTCACTCACTCAGTCAGTCACTCAGTCAGTCACTCACTCACTCATTCAGTCAGTCACTCACTCAGTCACTCACTCACTCACTCTCTCACTCAGTCACTCACTCAGTCACTCAGTCACTCAGTCACTCACTCAGTCACTCACTCACTCTCTCACTCAGTCACTCAATCAGCCACTCACTCACTCACTCAGTCAGTCATTCAGTCACTCAGTCACTCACTCACACAGTCACTCACTCAGTCACTCACTCAGTCACTCAGTCACTCACTCACTCAGTCACTCACTCAGTCACTCACTCAGTCAGTCACTCAATCACTCACTCACTCAGTCACTCACTCACTCAGTCACTCACTAAGTCAGTCACTCACTCACTCAGTCAGTCACTCAGTCACTCACTCAGTCACTCAGTCAGTCACTCAGTCACTCACTCAGTCACTCAGTCACTCACTCAGTCACTTACTCAGTCAGTCGCTCACTCATACACTCACTCAGTCACTCACTCAGTCACTCACTCAGTCACTCAGTCACTCACTCACTCACTCAGTCACGCACTCACTCAGTCACTCACTCACCCACTCACTCACCCTCCCACTCACTCACCCACCCACTCACTCACTCACCCACTAACCACTCACCCACTTACGCACTCACTCACCCACTCACTCACCACTCACCCACCCACTCACCCACCCACTCACCCACCCACTCACTCACCCACCCACCCACTCACTCACCCACCCACTCACCACTCACCCACTTACCCACTCACCCACTCACTCACCCACTCACTCACCACTCACTCACCCACTCACTCACTCACCACTCACTCACTCACACCACTCACTCACCCACTCACTCACCACTCACTCACCCACTCACTCACTCACCACTCACTCACTCACCCACTCACTCACCCACTCACTCACCACTCACTCACCCACTCACTCACTCACCACTCACTCACTCACCACTCACCCACTCACCCACTCACTCACCCACTCACCCACTCACTCGCCCACCCACCCACTCACCCACTCACTCACCACTCACTCACTCACACACTCACTCACTCACTCACCCACTCACTCACTCACCCACTCACTCACCCACTCACTCACCCACTCACTCACTCACACACTCACCCACTCACCCACTCACTCACCACTCACTCACTCACCACTCACCCACTCACTCACCCACTCACCCACTCACTCACCCACCCACCCACTCACCCACTCACTCACCACTCACTCACCCACTCACTCACTCACCACCCACTCACTCACCCACCCACCCACTCACCACTCACTCACTCACCACTCACTCACCACTCACACACCCACTCACTTACTCACTCACCCACCCACTCACTCACCCACCCACTCACTCACTCACCCACTCATTCACCCTCCCACTCACTCACCCACCCACTCACTCACCCACTCACTCACTCACCCACTAACCACTCACCCACTTACGCACTCACTCACCCACTCACTCACCACTCACCCACCCACTCACCCACCCACTCACCCACCCACTCACTCACCCACCCACCCACTCACTCACCCACCCACCCACTCACTCACTCACCCACTTACCCACTCACCCACTCACTCACCCACTCACTCACCACTCACTCACCCACTCACTCACTCACCACTCACTCACTCACCCACTCACTCACCCACTCACTCACCACTCACTCACCCACTCACTCACTCACCACTCACTCACTCACCCACTCACTCACCCACTCACTCACCACTCACTCACCCACTCACTCACTCACCACTCACTCACTCACCACTCACCCACTCACCCACTCACTCACCCACTCACCCACTCACTCACTCACCCACCCACCCACTCACCCACTCACTCACCACTCACTCACTCACACACTCACTCACTCACCCACTCACTCACTCACCCACTCACTCACCCACTCACTCACCCACTCACTCACTCACACACTCACCCACTCACCCACTCACTCACCACTCACTCACTCACCACTCACCCACTCACTCACCCACTCACCCACTCACTCACCCACCCACCCACTCACCCACTCACTCACCACTCACTCACTCACCACTCACTCACCCACTCACTCACCCACTCACTCACCACCCACCCACCCCCAATCCTCCTCTCGCGAGCTCCCTCCCCTCCCACCTCTCTCCCCCCACGCCCCCCCCCCCCCCCCCTTCTGCACCCCCCCGCCCCCCCCCCTACCCGGCTAGGCTGACGTCATTGCGAGCGTCAGAGCGCCGCCGTGACGTATCGCCCGGTCGCTGGCTCTGTCCATATTACCTGGGCAGGTGTGGCACACAGAGAGTCACACAGAGAGTCATAGAGAGTCACAGAGAGTCACAGAGACTCACATAGAGTCATAGAGAGTCACAGAGAGTCACAGAGAGTCATAGAGAGTCACAGAGAGTCATAGAGAGTCATAGAGAGAGAGTCACACAGAGAGTCACAGAGAGTCATAGAGAGTCACAGAAAGTCATAGAGAGTTACACAGAGAGTCACAGAGAGTTACACAGAGAGTCACACAGAGAGTCACGGGGAGTCACAGAGAGTCATAGAGAGTTACACAGAGAGTCACAGAGAGTTACACAGAGAGTCACACAGAGAGTCACGGGGAGTCACAGAGAGTCATAGAGAGTCACAGAGAGTCACAGAGAGTCATAGAGAGTTACACAGAGAGTCATAGAGAGTTACACAGAGTGAGTGAATGAGTGGGTGAGTGGGTGGGTGAGTGAGTGGGTGAGTGGGTTATTGAGTGAGTGGGTTAGTGGGTGAATGAGTGAGTGAGTGGGTGAGTGGGTGGGTGAGTGGGTTAGTGATTGAATTAGTGGGTGAGTGAGTGAGTGGGTGAGTGGGTGAGTGAGTGGGTGAGTGAGTGGGTGAGCGAGTGGGTGAGTGGGTGAGTGAGTGAGTGGGTTAGTGGGTGAATGAGTGAGTGAGTGGGTTAGTGGGTGAATGAGTGAGTGAGTGGGTTAGTGGGTGAATAAGGTGAGCGAGTGGGTGAGTGGGTGACCAGGTGAGTGAGTGGGTGAGTGAGTGAGTGGGTTAGTGGGTGGGTGGGTTAGTGGGTGGGTGAGTGAGTGGGTGGGTGACCAGGTGGGTGGGTGACCAGGTGAGTGGGTGGGTGACCAGGTGAGTGGGTGAGTGGGTTAGTGGGTGGGTGGGTGAGTGAGTGGGTGGGTGACCAGGTGGGTGGGTGACCTGGTGGGTGGGTGACCAGGTGAGTGGGTGACCAGGTGGGTGGGTGACCAGGTGGGTTAGTGGGTGGGTGACCAGGTGAGTGGGTGAGTGGGTTAGTGGGTGGGTGGGTGAGTGAGTGGGTGGGTGACCAGGTGGGTGGGTGACCAGGTGGGTGGGTGACCAGGTGAGTGGGTGACCAGGTGGGTGGGTGACCAGGTGGGTTAGTGGGTGGGTGACCAGGTGGGTGGGTGAGTGGGTGGGTGGGTTAGTGGGTGGGTGAGTGGGTGGGTGGGTGACCAGGTGGGTGGGTGACCAGGTGGGTGGGTGACCAGGTGGTGGGTGACCAGGTGGGTGGGTGAGTGAGTGGGTGGGTGGGTGACCAGGTGGGTGACCAGGTGAGTGGGTGACCAGGTGAGTGGGTGACCAGGTGGGTGGGTGACTAGGTGAGTGGGTGAGTGAGTGGGTGGGTGACCAGGTGGGTGGGTGACCAGGTGAGTGGGTGACCAGGTGAGTGGGTGACTAGGTGAGTGGGTGACCAGGTGGGTGGGTGGGTTAGTGGGTGGGTGAGTGAGTGGGTGGGTGACCAGGTGGGTGATCTCCCCACGGCTGCAGCTCCGTGTGGCGGCGTTGCCTAGCAACCCCATCTCTTCTCGCGCCCCCATCCTCCCGCCCCCTCCCCTTGCCTCCCCCCCCCACCTCCCCTCCCCTCCAGGGTGTCAGAGGGAGTGGACAAGGAGGTGATGGGAATCCTGGTCTCCTACGTCCTCCGTGTGAAGGCTCTTGTCTCCCGTAACGGGTGAGGATCACAGTGACCAGGGGATCACAGTGACCAGGGGATCACAGTGACCAGGGGATCACAGTGACCAGGGGATCACAGTGACCAGGGGATCACAGTGACCAGGGGATCACAGTGACCAGGGGATCTCAGTGACCAGGGGATCACAGTGACCAGGGTAGAGGATCACAGTGACCAGGGGATCACAGTGACCAGGGTAGAGGATCACAGTGACCAGGGGATCACAGTGACCAGGGGATCACAGTGACCAGGGTAGAGGATCACAGTGACCAGGGGATCACAGTGGTCAGGGTAGGGGATCACAGTGACCAGGGGATCACAGTGACCAGGGGATCACAGTGACCAGGGTAGGGGATCACAGTGACCAGGGGATCACAGTGACCAGGGGACCACAGTGACCAGGGGATCACAGTGACCAGGGGATCACAGTGACCAGGGGATCACAGTGACCAGGGAATCACAGTGACCAGGGGATCACAGTGACCAGGGGACCACAGTGACCAGGGGATCACAGTGACCAGGGGATCACAGTGACCAGGGAATCACAGTGACCAGGGGATCACAGTGACCAGGGGATCACAGTGGTCAGGGTAGGGGATCACAGTGACCAGGGTAGGGGATCACAGTGACCAGGGTAGGGGATCACAGTGACCAGGGTAGGGGATCACAGTGACCAGGGTAGGGGATCACAGTAACCAGGGGATCACAGTGACCAGGGAATCACAGTGACCAGGGGATCACAGTGACCAGGGGACCACAGTGACCAGGGGATCACAGTGACCAGGGGATCACAGTGACCAGGGGATCACAGTGGTCAGGGTAGGGGATCACAGTGACCAGGGTAGGGGATCACAGTGACCAGGGTAGGGGATCACAGTGACCAGGGTAGGGGATCACAGTGACCAGGGTAGGGGTTTACAGTGACCAGGGGATCACAGTGACCAGGGTAGGGGATCACAGTGACCAGGGGATCACAGTGAGCAGGGTAGGGGATCACAGTGACCAGGGTAGGGGATCACAGTGACCAGGGTAGGGGATCACAGTGACCAGGGTAGGGGATCACAGTGACCAGGGTAGAGGATCACAGTAACCAGGGGATCACAGTGACCAGGGTAGGGGATCACAGTGGTCAGGGTAGGGGATCACAGTGACCAGGGTAGGGGATCACAGTAACCAGGGGATCACAGTGACCAGGGTAGAGGATCACAGTGACCAGGGTAGAGGATCACAGTGACCAGGGGATCACAGTGGCCAGGGTAGGGGATCACAGTGACCAGGGTAGGGGATCACAGTGACCAGGGTAGAGGATCACAGTGACCAGGGTAGGGGATCAGAGTGACCAGGGGATCACAGTGACCAGGGTATGGGATCACAGAGACCAGGGTATGGGATCACAGTGACCAGGGTAGAGGTACACAGTGACCAGGGTAGGGGATCACAGTGACCAGGGTAGGGGATCACAGTGACCAGGGTAGAGGATCACAGTGACCAGGGTAGGGGATCACAGTGACCAGGGTATGAGGATCACAGTGACCAGGGATCACAGTGGTCAGGGTAGGGGATCACAGTGACCAGGGTAGGGGTTCACAGTGACCAGGGATCACAGTGGTCAGGGTAGGGGATCACAGTGACCAGGGTAGGGGATCACAGTGACCAGGGTAGAGGATCACAGTGACCAGGGTAGGGGATCACAGTGACCAGGGTAGGGGATCACAGTGACCAGGGTAGAGGATCACAGTGACCAGGCTAGAGGATCACAGTGACCAGGCTAGAGGATCACAGTGACCAGGGTAGGGGATCACAGTGACCAGGGTAGGGGATCACAGTGACCAGGGTAGGGGATCCACAGTGACCAGGGTAGGGGATCACAGTGAACCCAGGGTAGAGGATCACAGTGACCAGGGTAGAGGATCACAGTGACCAGGGGATCACAGTGACCAGGGGGATCACAGTGGCCAGGGTAGAGGATCACAGTGACCAGGGTAGGGGATCACAGTAACCAGGGTAGAGGATCACAGTGACCAGGGTAGGGGATCACAGTAACCAGGGTAGGGGGATCACAGTGACCAGGGGATCACAGTGACCAGGGGGATCACAGTGGTCCAGGTAGAGGATCACAGTGACCAGGGGATCAGAGTGACCAGGGGATCACAGTGACCCAGAGGTAGAGATCACAGTGACCAGGTAAGGGGATCACAGTGACCAGGGTCGGGGATCACAGTGACCAGGGTAGAGCATCACAGTGACCAGGGGACCACAGTTGACCAGGGTAGGGGGATCACAAGTGACCAGGGTAAGGGATCAACAGTGACCAGGGTAGAGGATCACACAGTGACCAGGTAGGGGATCACAGTGACCAGGGGATCACAGTGACCAGGGGAGTCACAGTGATTCAGGGTAGAGGATCACAGTGGACAAGGTAGGGGATCACGGAGTGGACCAAGGGGGGATCACAGTGGACCATGGGTAGAGGGATCACTGTGACCCAGGGTAAGATCACAGTGACCGCAGGGTAGGGGATCACAGTGACCAAGGTAGAGGATCATAAGTGACCAGGGTATCACAGTGACCAGGTAGGGATCACAGTGGATCAGGGTAAGGGATCACAGTGACCAGGGTAGATGATCACAGTGACCAGGGTAGGGGGATCACAGGTGACCAGGGTAAAGTGATCACAGTGACCAGGGTAGGGATCACAGTGACCATGGTAGGGGATCACAGTGACCAGGGTAAGGGGATCACATGTGACCAAGGGTAGAGGATCACAGTGGACCAGGGTAGATGATCACAGTGACAAGGGTAGAGGATAACAGTGACCAGGGTAAGGGGATCACAGTGACCAGGGTAGAGGATCAGCAGTGACCAGGGTAGAGGATACAGTGACGCAGGGTAGGAGGGATCACAAGTGGAAACCAGGGTAGGGGATCACAGTGACCAGGGGATCACAGTGACCAAGGTAGAGGATCACAGTGACCAGGGGATCACAGTGACCAGGGTAGGGGATCACAGTGACCAGGGTAGGGGATCACAGTGACCAGGGGATCACAGTGACCAGGGGATCACAGTGGTCAGGGTAGAGGATCACAGTGACCAGGGGATCACAGTGACCAGGGGATCACAGTGACCAGGGTAGAGGATCACAGTGACCAGGGTAAGGGATCACAGTGACCAGGGTAGGGGATCACAGTGACCAGGGTAGAGGATCACAGTGACCAGGGGACCACAGTGACCAGGGTAGGGGATCACAGTGACCAGGGTAAGGGATCACAGTGACCAGGGTAGAGGATCACAGTGACCAGGGTAGGGGATCACAGTGACCAGGGGATCACAGTGACCAGGGGATCACAGTGGTCAGGGTAGAGGATCACAGTGACCAGGGGATCAGAGTGACCAGGGGATCACAGTGACCAGGGTAGAGGATCACAGTGACCAGGGTAAGGGATCACAGTGACCAGGGTAGGGGATCACGTGACCAGGGTAGAGGATCATAGTGACCAGGGACCCAGTGACCAGGTAGGTTGATCACAGTGACCAGGGTAAGGGATCACAGTGACCAGGGTAGAGGATCACAGTGACCAGGGTAGGGGATCACAGTGCCCAGGGTAGAGGATCAACAGTGACCAGGGTAGGGGATCACAGTGACCAGGGGGATCACAGTGACCAGGGTAGGGGATCACAGTGCACCAGGGTAGAGGATCACAGTGACCAGGGGATCACAGTGACCAGGGTAGAGGATCACAGTGACCAGGGTAGGGGATCACAGTGCCCAGGGTAGAGGATCACAGTGACTCAGGGGATCACAGTGACCAGGGTAGAGGAATCACAGTGACCAGGGTAGGGGATCACAGTGACCAGGGGATCACAGTGACCAGGGTAGAGGATCACAGTGAGCCAGGGGATCACAGTGACCAGGGTAGGGGATCAACAGTGACCAGGGTAGGGGATCACAGTGACCAGGGGATCACAGTGACCAGGGGATCACAGTGGTCAGGGTAGAGGATCACAGTGACCCAGGGGATCACAGTGACCAGGGGATCACAGTGACCAGGGTAAGGGATCACAGTGACCAGGGTAGGGGATCACAGTGACCAGGGTAGGGGATCACAGTGACCAGGGTAAGGGATCACAGTGACAAGTGGATCACAGTGACCAGGGTAGAGGATCACAGTGACAAGGGGATCACAGTGACCAGGGTAGGGGATCACAGTGACCAGGGTAGGGGATCACAGTGACCAGGGTAGAGGATCACAGTGACCAGGGTAGGGGATCACAGTGACCAGGGTAGAGGATCACAGTGACCAGGGGATCAGAGTGACCACGTCAGGGATCACAGTGACCAGGGGATCACAGTGACCAGGGGATCACAGTGACCAGGGGATCACAGTGACCAGGGTAGGGGATCACAGTGAGCAGGGTAGGGGATCACAGTGACCAGGGTAGGGGATCACAGTGACCAGGGGATCACAGTGATCAGGGTAGAGGATCACAGTGACCAGGGTAAGGGATCACAGTGACCAGGGTAGGGGATCACAGTGACCAGGGTAGAGGATCATAGTGACCAGGGGACCACAGTGACCAGGGTAGGGGATCACAGTGACCAGGGTAAGGGATCACAGTGACCAGGGTAGAGGATCACAGTGACCAGGGTAGGGGATCACAGTGCCCAGGGTAGAGGATCACAGTGACCAGGGTAGGGGATCACAGTGACCAGGGGATCACAGTGACCAGGGTAGGGGATCACAGTGCCCAGGGTAGAGGATCACAGTGACCAGGGGATCACAGTGACCAGGGTAGAGGATCACAGTGACCAGGGTAGGGGATCACAGTGCCCAGGGTAGAGGATCACAGTGACCAGGGGATCACAGTGACCAGGGTAGAGGATCACAGTGACCAGGGTAGGGGATCACAGTGACCAGGGGATCACAGTGACCAGGGTAGAGGATCACAGTGACCAGGGGATCACAGTGACCAGGGTAGGGGATCACAGTGCCCAGGGTAGAGGATCACAGTGACCAGGGGATCACAGTGACCAGAGGATCACAGTGGTCAGGGTAGGGGATCACAGTGCCCAGGGTAGAGGATCACAGTGACCAGGGGATCACAGTGACCAGGGTAGAGGATCACAGTGACCAGGGTAGGGGATCACAGTGACCAGGGGATCACAGTGACCAGGGTAGAGGATCACAGTGACCAGGGGATCACAGTGACCAGGGTAGGGGATCACAGTGACCAGGGTAGGGGATCACAGTGACCAGGGGATCACAGTGACCAGAGGATCACAGTGGTCAGGGTAGAGGATCACAGTGACCAGGGGATCACAGTGACCAGGGGATCACAGTGACCAGGGTAAGGGATCACAGTGACCAGGGTAGGGGATCACAGTGACCAGGGTAGGGGATCACAGTGACCAGGGTAAGGGATCACAGTGACAAGTGGATCACAGTGACCAGGGTAGAGGATCACAGTGACAAGGGGATCACAGTGACCAGGGTAGGGGATCACAGTGACCAGGGTAGGGGATCACAGTGACCAGGGTAGAGGATCACAGTGACCAGGGTAGGGGATCACAGTGACCAGGGTAGAGGATCACAGTGACCAGGGGATCAGAGTGACCACGTCAGGGATCACAGTGACCAGGGGATCACAGTGACCAGGGGATCACAGTGACCAGGGGATCACAGTGACCAGGGTAGGGGATCACAGTGAGCAGGGTAGGGGATCACAGTGACCAGGGTAGGGGATCACAGTGACCAGGGGATCACAGTGATCAGGGTAGAGGATCACAGTGACCAGGGTAAGGGATCACAGTGACCAGGGTAGGGGATCAGAGTGACCACATCAGGGATCATATTTTAACAGTGTTGGCGAGTTTTACAAATTTGAACATTGCCTTCAAACGTTTGTGTACTGCAGGGATTCCTGTCCTATGGTTCTTTCGGTAAAAATAAAACAATAAAATAATGGAAATTAAAATAAAGTGAATACAAAAATAATAAAATATCACGACGTTTCGATCGCAACACAAGGGGCCTTCATCAGGAACGGGGGGGGGGGGGGGTGGTGATAATGATGATGGTGCTGTTGCTGATGATGATGATGATGGTGGTGCTGAAAGTGATGATGGTGCTGTTGCTGATGATGGTACTGTTGCTGATGATGGTGCTGTTGATGATGATGGCGTTGTTGATGATGATGGTGCTGTTGATGGTGCTGCTGATGATGATTATGATGGTGCTGATCATGATGATAGTGGTACTGATGATGATGATGATTGTGCTGCTGATGATAGCGCTGTTGATGATGATGATGGCGCTGTTGATGATGATGTTGTTACTGATGATGATGGTGATAATCGTGCTGTTGATGATGATGATGGTGGTGCTGATGATGATGATGTTGTTGCTGCTGATGATGATGTTGCTGATGATGGTGCTGTTGATGATGATGGTGGTGCTGATGATGATGTTGCTGATGTTGCTGATGATGCTGATGCTGCTCCTGATGTTGCTGATGGTGGTGCGTGTTCTCGTCACGTGATGCGATGTCTCTGATGTCACCCCCCACAGGATACTGGCAGATATCGCTGGCAGGTAAAACTCGACACAGCACCCCACGTACTGTACACACTTGCATTGGCACCGCCACAGTGCCGTGGAGTGGGAGTGAGCGTGTGTCTGTGTGTGTATGTGTGTGTATGTCCGTGTGTGTGTATGTGTGTGTCTGTGTGTGTGTCTGTGTGTGTGTCTGTGTGTGTATGTGTGTGTGTCTCTGTGTGTGTCTGTGTGTGTGTGTCTGTGTGTGTCAGTGTGTGTGTATGTGTGTGTGTCTCTGTGTCTCTCTGTGTGAGTGTCTGTGTGTCTGTGTGTGTGTCTGTGTGTGTGTCTGTGTGTGTGTCTGTGTATGTGTGTGTGTCTGTGTGTGTGTGTCTGTGTGTGTGTGTGTCTGTGTGTGTGTGTGTCTGTGTGTGTATGTGTCTGTGTGTGTGTCTGTGTGTGTCTGTGTGTGTATGTGTGTGTGTATCTGTGTGTGTGTCTGTGTGTGTGTTTGTGTGTGTCTGTGTGTGTGTGTGTCTGTATGTGTGTGTCTGTATGTGTGTGTCTGTGTGTGTGTGTCTGTGTGTGTATGTGTGTGTGTGTCTGTGTGTGTATTTGTCTGTGTGTGTGTCTGTGTGTGTGTATGTGTGTGTGTCTGTGTGTGTGTGTCTGTATGTGTGTCTGTGTGTGTACCTCCTCGCGGTGCCGGACGGGCAACTCTGTCGTGGACAGTGCTGTGGGGGGAGATCCAATTTTGATTGGCTCCTCCCCTCATGGCATATGTGTATACCACAGGGGATAAACGGGGGCTCTGGACGGGTGCGAGGGGCTGGTAACCCCTCCACCTTCAATTAATTACCACGAAACCACGAGTTAAACTGAAATATGTAACTAATAAGCCTGTGCCGGAGGCCCCGGGGGGCCAGGCGTCTATGACGTCTCCTGGCCAAACCCCAATTGGCGGAGCCAGGAGATTGAATATCCACCCTCGGGGCTCCTCCAGAAACAACGAAAAGCCACTACGGGTGGCCACGTGGAATGTTCGAACGCTCACTGAGGAGGAGAGGCTGCCACTCCTCTGTCGGAAGCTGGACCGGTACCGCCTGGATCTATGCGGCATTCAGGAGGTCCGGTGGACCGGCTCTGGCTCCTGCCACCATGAGGGGTGGACAGTCCTCTACTCGGGGCGGCAGATTGCCAAACAACAGGGTGTGGCTCTTCTTTTGAACAAAAGAATGAAGGGGGCGTGGGAGCGTGGCGGTGAGGTGTGGGAAGCTGTAAGCCCCAGGCTACTTTGGGCTCGCCTTCCCATCAACCGAAGGCGAGGAATGGTGGTCGTGGTTACTTACGCCCCCACCGAAGATGAACATCCGTGGAGGGATGCAGGCAAAGCCGATGAGTCAGATGCCTTCTATGACCTCCTGTCACAGGTGCTGGCTAAAGTGGCCCCTCGGGATAGAGTCATCATGTTGGGTGACTTCAATGCCCGAGTTGGTCATGATACTGGCACCTGGTCTGGAGTGATTGGAGGGCATGGGCCAGATCAGCTCAATAACAACGGTAGGAGGCTGCTAGATTTTTGTGCAGCCCATGGGCTTGTAATTACCAACAAGCTGTTCCGGCATCGGCGCATCCACACAACATCATGGATGCATGCCGGGTCCAAGCAAGAACATCTGCTGGACTACATAGTGACAGACCAGCGGATGGGAGCCCATGTCCTTGACACCAGGACCTACCGTGGAGCTGATCTGCCCTCTGACCATCGACTAGTCATGTGTAAGATGCGCCTGCCATTCTTCCACTCCGGTGGTGGGTGTACACCCAGGACCCCATTCCGACCTAAAGTGGCCTGGTCTCAGTTATCTGATGAAAGTTGCAAGCGAGAATTTCATCATCGATTGCAGCTGGGATTGGCATCGTCCCCGACTCCTCCTGATGTCGAGGGTAAATGGGCGAGGTTTAGGACTGTGACTCATGCAGCTGCAATGGCTGCTTTGGGTGCGCGGTCCAGACCTCCCCAGAGACCCTGGCTGACAGAGGAGGTGTTCAGGATGGTTGAGAAAAAGCGACAGGCCCACTGTCATTGGCTACAGAATCCCACGTCAGAGAATGAGGAGGCTTACCGCAGCCTTCGCTCGGAGGTTCGGAGAGCCGTGAGGCGCTGCAAGGATGGGTGGTGGTCGCGGGTTGCTGAGGAGATGGAGTCTGCCTCAGTGGCCCGCGATCACAAATCTCTATTTAACTCCATCAAAAAAGTAACCTGCAGCGCCACACCTATTACCATCATTAGGGGAAAAAACGGTGATCCAATCTCCGACCCCCAGGAACAGGTTGCAGATTAGCTGAGCATTTCTGTGAGGTCCTGGGGGAGGGAAAATCCCTCAGCCAGGTAAACATCGTGGCACAAGGTGAGGATGACCCTGCTGAGGCTGCGGTGCCTCAAATATTGGAAGAAGTCACCCCCTGTGAGTGGCTGGCTGAGGTGCCATCTGTTGAGGAAGTACTGAAAGCGATCCGGAGTTTGAGACCAGGAAAGGCAGCGGGCAGAGATGATCTCCCAAGCGAAATGCTGAGGGAGGGTGGCGTTTGTGCACACACTGCCCTATATGACATCATAACAACGGTCTGGACCACTGGACGGGTTCCGCAGGATTGGAAGGATGCCCTGGTGGTCCCCCTCTTTAAGAAGGGGGACCGCACAGACTGTAACAACTACAGGGGCATCTCACTCCTCAGTGTGCCGGGAAAGGTCCTGGCAAGGATTATTCAGCATCGCCTTGCCAGGCACGCTGAGGAGAGGCTTGCGGAGCCCCAATGCGGTTTCAGGAAAGGGCGGTCCTGCACAGATGCCATATTTTCTGTCCGTCTGCTACAGTAGAGGTGTAGGGAATTCCAACAAGACCTTCATCTCTGCTTTATTGACCTGGTCAAGGCCTATGATACCATCTGTAGGCCTGGGCTCTGGGTCGTTCTTCGTGCTTTTGGAGTACCTGACCCTCTGCTCACCATCATGAAGGTCCTTAATGATCGTGAGCAGAGGCCCGGGTAAAACTACGTGGCCGGGAGTCAGAGCCATTCCCTGTACACCTTGGGGTGCGACAGGGATGTCCTCTGGCTCCCACATTATTTAACATCTATTTTGACCACGTAGTTCGTGAAGCCTTCAATAGCTTTACCGGGGGAATCTCCATATGGTACAGATATAATGGGAGGCTGATCGATGCCCGGGTGCGGTCAAGGGATGGCTCCCTGTTGCTCAACCACGTTATGTATGCTGATGATTTGGTAATAGCTGCTCATTCAGAGGAGGAGTTGGAGACGCTGCTGCTGAGACTGGAGCGTGCCACTAAGAGGTGGGGCCTTACCATCAGCCCCACCAAAACTAAGCACCTGCCTGGGTATTTTGTACCATCGGACACTCCACCCCCACAACTCCCAATCGGTGATGGGGCAGTTGTGGAGAGAGTGGAGAGTTTCCCATACCTGGGCAGTGTGCTTATGACTGGCTCCAGTTTAACAGCAGAGGTCTCACTCCGAATCAGTCGAGCGGCAATATCTTTTCATCGGTTGCGTAACGCTGTGTGGAAGCTACCTGGTCTGTCGCTCCGCACTAAGCTTCAGGTCTTCTCGGCCACGGTCATTCCCTCCCTTCTCTACGCTTGCGAAACATGGACCCCCCTAATGGAACATCTTCGCCGGTTAGAAATATTTAGGCTGGCCTGCCTACGATCCATCCTGGGTTTAACCAGACTGGATTGTGTGAGGAGCTCACAAATCCTTGAAAGATCTGGGCAAGGTCCCATCGGTGAGCTCCTCCGGCGGGCAAGGCTGCGATGGCTGGGTCATGTACCCCGCATGCCCAGCCAACGCATGCCGAAACAGCTTTTGTTCGGCCGGATCGAGGGGGCTAAGCGGGCGCGGCACGGGCTAGAGAAGAGATGGAGTGATGTGGTACAGGAGGACGTGGAGCTGAGTGAACTTGCCGATGACTGGTACCAGCGGTGTCAAGATCGGCCTCTGTGGAGGAGGCTCGTGAAGGATGCTACTGGGCAGTTGGAGGCAGTCGCCCTCCAACAACAACGGAGGGCGGAGGAGCGACGCTCACAACAACGAGCGGAGCGCCGGGTGGCTAAAGCACAGCAGGTTGGCACAGTAGGGGGCACAGGTGGTGCCGGCGGGCGTTCGACACTTCACGTGGCCTCAGGGTGCACATAGCCTGGCACAAGCGTCGTGGTGACGTCACCCCCACTTAGTGGCGAATGGCGGTTGTTGTTGTTGTCTGTGTGTGTGTCTGTGTATGTGTGTCTGTGTGTGTATGTGTGTGTATGTCTGTGTGTGTCTGTGGGTGTGTGTCTGTATGTGTGTGGCTGTGTGTTTGTGTCTATGTGTATGCGTGTCCTCCCTAACAGCACATGCTCTAACAGTCCGTTAAGGCTACACGGGTGACCTTTGTCTTTTTGTAAGTGTGCGTGATGATGATGTTGCTGATGATGATGTTGCTGATGATGATGATGATGTTGCTGATGCTGCTGCTGATGGTGGTGGTGATGGTGAGACAGCGATCTGCTGGTGGAGTTGCCCTTCACGCTGATGCACCCCAAACCCGTGGACGATGTCTACGAAGTGTCCCGTGAGACCCAACATCATCATGATCATCATCAGCAACACCATCATCATCATGAGCAAAATCATCATCATGAGCAAAATCATCATCAGCAACATCATCAGCAGCAGCAACATCATCAGCAACATCATCACCTGCAACGAAATAACGCTTACTGTCCCTGGGTAGTAAGCGTTATTTCCTAATTGCTCATGCCTCATAAGTACAGAAAGTGGCTATGATTATTCCCCACAAACTTTGCTTTAGTGACCAGGACAGTGATATTTAGAACTTGACCTATTTGCCAGAAATATTCCGGATAGATTCAGTGCTGCGTTAACTTGGAGAGTAACTTCTGGACATGCTACAACTTTCCAGTAATATCAATGGTAGTTGAAATACAGGGGGCCTTAAGCCCACTGGTTCAGCTTAGTTCCAGCTGCCTAAGTGTAAACATATCTGCATTTTATCTGAGATGGCATCAAGAGGCTGCGAGCGTTCCGGCAGACGCATTTTGCCATGTCTGCAGCCAATTGATCAAGGCCAAAAGCGGACAAAGCACTCTGTGAAAGCATCTGCTAAGACGTGTGAGGCCTACAAGGCATGTTGTTTCGGCATGGCATGCCTGCCGGGCACCTCATCTCACCGGCGAGCAATGCAAATCAGACTCTGGAAGGTAAGGCGGACAATTGTTGCTTGTAAAAAAAAAATGTTTTTAATTGGAAAAGTTTTTAATTAGATAACGTTTTCCAATTGAACAATGTTTATTGGGAGAGAAAATATATATATGTCACGTATGGAAAAAATTCTGCGGGATTCTCCCAACACATTAGTCACGGGGGAAATAAATTTATTTTTGTTAGGATGGTACAGCGGGGGGCAAAAGTGAGCCATGAGGTTCGCAATCCCAAGAATTTGTCGGGAACCCACCGACCACTCCAGCAACTGCGACTTTATGAGATCCTCCTTTGCCAGTAGCAAGATGTAGTAATAGGTTTTTACCATTTTATCCGGCACCAAAACTGACACCTTTATACAAGGGATCATGTTTGCAATAACCACACCACAAGCAGTCAAAATGCAAACAAAAAGAGATAACTCTGATAATGATATGCACTGTCCTTGAATTTGATTGGTCCACACCCGAGATGGCTTTTCTTAGAGCCCTTAGTCTCCACTGGTGTTGGACCAGAAGACGCCAAAAGGCGTACAACTCAAAAACAGCGCACTATCAGAGTATTGAGAGTTTTTGTGCCAGATCAAAGGGTAAAAACCTATTACTATATCTTGTTACTGGCAAAGGAGGTCTCTCAATGTAAATGCTCACCCCGAGTCCTCAATACTCTGATAGTGCGCTGTTTTTGAGCTGTACGCCTTTTGGCGTCTTCTGGTCCAACACCAGTGGAGGACTGTAGGGCTCTAAGAAAAGCCGTCTCGTGTGTGGACCAATCAAATTCAAGGACAGTGCCAATAATATTATTATCAGAGTTGTCTCTTTTTGTTTGCATTTTGACTGCTTGTGTTGTGGTTATTGCAGACATGATGCCTTGAATAAAGGTGTCAGTTTTTTGTGCCAGATAAAAGGGTAAGAACCTATTTACAACAACTGCTACTTCTTCTGCATGGTGGACCCTTCCAAACGTCGGACCGGCAAGAATGCACCTGCTATCACTTATCCGGGCCTCCGTTCATCCATCGCCCCGGTGCCACGCTGCCATGAGCTCCCCGTACCCACTCCTCCTCCTCAGAGAGAGAGAGAGAGAGAGCAGCCGTCTCTAGAAGAGAGCGGCAAGTCGGAGGGCGAGAAAGACGCGCCCGTCCATCCGGGTGACAAAATTCGGAGGCGGAGCAGCTCGAGGATAGAAACCCATCCAACCCCAACCCAAAAAGACCTGAGCGACTCCATCGGAGATCTTGGTCTCACCAAGTCCATTGGCCGAGCTTTTTGACGTCTGGGCCTTAAGCAGCGGGACTTCTCGCTCGCTGGTTCTTTCGGCAAAGTCACGTAGACAAGAAGACAACGATGAAAGAGACGCGACGTGTCCGTCGCGACGCAAGCGTCCGCGGATCAGGTGAGCAAAATGATCGGCTGCTGCGGCCGCGTGCAGGCACGGCAAAGACCTGTCGGATGAAAGTTGCGCAAGTCGCAGATCGGAGGAAGCGTCGCCAAACATTTTCGTTGCAGCTTCTTTCGCCCGTCGTCAAGACGGGGATCCGCTTTCTGCCACGGTGTGACCGGTCCGTTCGAGGCAATCGGAATCGCCTGTGGCCCAGAGTGAGTGGCGCCTTTTCGTTTGCGCCAACTCATCCAGCAGCAGCCCCGAAGCCGCGCTGCTGCCCCATGATGGCAACAAGTAACCCCGCCTCTTTCCCCTGCCTCGCTCGGTGCACCTCGAAGAGGATTGCAGCAGCGTCGAGCCCCTTGCCGGACGCCTGGAAGTATGACGAGCGCGGCTGGGAGATCATCGGAAGACTTCGAAACGGAGGCAATTCCTGATGGGTCCCCAAAGGCGGGGCTTCACCAGGTTTCCCGGCTGCCTTTGCCTTTGGGGGCAGCGGAGACGCCACAGGTGGGACTGGCCACGGCGGACCGAGTTCTCCGTGGGGAGGAACTCTCTCGCTCTCTCTCGCTCTCTCTCTCTCTCGCTCTCTCACTCTCTCGTTCGTCCATCAAGTTGTCACTTCGTTGGGTTTTGACGAGTGCGTAAATGGCTGAACAGGCCAATCCGAGGCCGGAATTCTCCTTGCTGCAGAGTCCTTCCTCGGTCGATCTGCCCTCACGGGGGACTGCACCGTCCCGAACTTTTACTCTTCTCCAGGCAGCTCGGTTCCTGAGCCCGGGGGTTCGCCCGGCTTTTCAGGTCGAATCCGAAGCTCTCAAGGCAGCTTTCAGGGCGTCCCTTGGCAGTGTGCTTTGTGGGACCAACCCGCGCTCCGCTCGCCATTCTTCAGCTCGCCAAAGGTAGACTCGGTTTTTGGCAGTCTTGCGGAGGGGTGGGGGGGGGGGGGGGAGGGGGGGGGTGGGCATTCTGGTCACGTGGCCAGTCCATCTCTCTAAGCCGTCCCTTCGCAAGCAAGGTGCGTGGATGCCGGGGATATTGGCCTTGCTGAGGACTTCCGTGTAACGTCAAGTGGGAGCCACCGATGGACCCACCCCCACCCCCCCCCCCCCCCCCCCCCCCCCCCCCCCCCCCCCCCCCCCCCCCCCCCCCCCCCCCCCCCCCCACGGAAGGTGCCGATGTCATCGCTGCGCAGCAAATTGGGCCCCGTGTGAAACAATTTGTCAAGAGCTGTAGATTAAGGAGTCGGCAACCGCTTCAAGTTACCTTCAAGACTTCTTCCCGAATTCTGCCTGAGGCGAAGGTCGAAGCCGGCGGTGTCTTCGTCGGACCACAGATGAAGAAGATCCTGGAGTGCAATGACTTCGCCAAGAAGCTCAGCAGTAAGGAGAAGGCGGCTTGGGACAGCTTTGTCGGAGTGGTTTCGTGGCTTTCCTGGGCAATCACGAGGTCCAAAACTACTCGGAGCTGTAATAATTGAGGGGGGGGGGGGGAGATTTTCCCCCTTTTTTCTCTGGCAACAAAACTTAAACCTTTTGTTTAAGGAGGATTCATGTCACTGCGTTAACCCTCAATACTCGCAGTCAAAATGCAAGCGAAAAAACACGCACTTTTGATTTAAAGCTTTTCGTGACTGCAGGGATTCATATTCTTGGTTCTTTCGGTAAAGTCACCACGTTAGAAGGGAAAACAATAAAATAATCAAATATATATGAAACAATAAAATTCTCACGACGTTTCGACTGTGACACAAACAGTCATCATCAGGTGGTGATGTAACACGAACAGTCATCAGGTGTGATAATGACTGTGTTGCAGTCGAAACGTCGTGAGAATTTTATTGGTTTATATATATTTTTTGTTATTTTATTGCTTCCCTTCAACGTGACTTTACTGAAAGAACCAAGAATATAAAAAAACACACACTCTGATAAATATGATGATGCATTGTCTTTGAATCTGATTGGTCCACACCAAGGGACGGTTTTCTTTAGAGCCTGTTCTCAAACGGTGCTCGACCAGATGACGCCAAAAGGCGTCACACAGCTCAAAGACAATGCACTATCAAAGTAATGAGGGCTCGGGGTGAGCATCTACATCATTAGACCTCCTTTGCCAGTACCAAGATATAATAATAGGGTGGTTTTTCCCCTTTTGTCTGGCAACAAAACTGAAACCTTTTTTACAAGGATTCATGTTTACTGCATTAACCTACAATACCTGCAGTCAAAATGCAAACAAAAAAACACACTATGATAATAAATGCATTCATACTCTTTGGTTCTATTGGGTAAAGTCACGTAGGTAAAAAATAAAATAACATTCTTTTTTTACCTACGTGACTTTACCCAATAGAAGCAAAGAGTATGGATCCTAGCAGTCACGAAATCTTTAAATCTAGAATATATGCATTGTCCTTGAAACTGATTGGTCCGCACCAAGGGGACGGCTTTCTTTTGAGCATCGACCCAATTGGTTGCTCGACCAGAGGACGCCAAAAGGACGTCACACGGCTCAAAGGTTTTCGGTTTTGTAGCCAGACCCCCCAAAAAAAGGTGCTAAAACCCTATCATCATATTTTGGTACTGGCAAAGGAGCTGGTTGAGATTCTGTTGAAGAACTGCGGCTCAACGGGCTGTAGGATGTCCCTGAAAGCCCGTATCCCGGATGCCCGTCTTGATCAATTCAAGGATATTGAGGTGAGCGTGCTCGGAGGGGCAAGGCGAGGGCGCTTGTCCACCAGGATATGCGGGACTTTGAACGCCGCTAACAAGGACGGTACAACGGGAACACGATGGGAGACCACGTTTTGGTGGGAGGGGTGGGGCGATTCGTGAACGCGATTTAAGGTGTAATGGCAAATCACGAAAAAGACTCAATTCCAAAGCTTTTGCAGTCATATTTGTATCGCTTTTAGTATAGATAGATGTGACTTTTGGGTCGCGTGTTGTTGCTGTTGATGTTTTCTGACTTTACGTGAACGAAAAGAGACACGTTCGCCCGTTTTCTCGTTGAAAATGAGGTACATTTATAAATATCGCTGTCCCGGTCGCAAAAGGCAGAGTTTGTGGGCGAATAACAATAGCCACTTTCTGCACTTTTTAGGGATAAGCAATTACGAAATAACACTTACTGCCCAGGGACACAAATTGTATTACGTAGTGTATAATCAGTACCATCATCATCATCAGCACCATCATCATCAGCACCATCATCAGTAGTAACATTATCGTCAGCAGCATCATCAGCAACATCAGCAGCAGCAGCAGCACCATCACTATCAGCATCGTCATCAGCACCGCCATCATCAGCACCATCATTATTAGCATCATCATCAGCGGCACCACCATCATCAGCAACATCATCAGCAGCACCGTCATCATCAGCACCATCATTATCAGCATCATCAGCACCACCATCATCAGCAGCATCATCTGCAGCGCCATCATTATCAGAACCATCATCATCAGCATCATCATCAGCACCATCATTATCAACAGCATCATCATTATCAGCATCATCAGCACCACCATCGTCAGCAGCATCATCTGCAGCGCCATCATCATCAGCACTATCATTATCAGCAGCATCATTATTAGCATCATCATCAGCGGCACCACCATCATCAGCAACATCATCAGCAGCACCGTCATCATCAGCACCATCATTATCAGCATCATCTGCAGCGCCATCATTATCAGCACCATCATCATCAGCACCATCATCAGCATCATCATCAGCACCGCCATCATCAGCACCATCATTATTAGCATCATCATCAGCGGCACCACCATCATCAGCAACATCATCAGCAGCACCGTCATCATCAGCACCATCATTATCAGCATCATCAGCACCACCATCATCAGCAACATCATCTGCAGCGCCATTATTATCAGCACCATCATCATCAGCATCATCATCAGCACCGTCATCATCAGCACCATCATTATTAGCATCATCATCAGCGGCACCACCATCATCAGCAACATTATCAGCAGCACCGTCATCATCAGCACCATCATTATCAGCATCATCAGCACCACCATCATAAGCAGCATCATCTGCAGCGCCATCATTATCAGCACCATCATCATCAGCATCATCATCAGCACCGTCATCATCAGCACCATCATTATTAGCATCATCATCAGCGGCACCACCATCATCAGCAACATCATCAGCAGCACCGTCATCATCAGCACCATCATTGTCAGCATCATCAGCACCACCATCATAAGCAGCATCATCTGCAGCGCCATCATTATCAGCACCATCAGCATCATCATCAGCACCATCATTATCAGCAGCATCGTTATTATCATCAGCAGCACCAGCATCATCAGCAGCATCATCAGCACCATCATTATCAGCAGCATCATCATTATCAGCATCATCAGCACCACCATCATCAGCAGCATCATCTGCAGCGCCATCATTATCAGAACCATCATCATCAGCATCATTATCAGCAGCATCATTATCAGCAGCATCATCATTATCAGCATCATCAGCACCACCATCAGCAACATCATCATCAGCACCATCATTATCAGCAGCATCATCATTATCAGCATCATCAGCACCACCATCATCAGCAACATCATCTGCAGCGCCATCATTATCAGCACCATCATCATCAGCATCATCATTATCAGCAGCATCATTATCATCAGCACCATCGGCCCCATCAGCGCCATCAACATCACCACCACCATCACCATCGTTTCCCCCGTCACGATGAGCTAACGCCGCTGTCTGATCTCCTCCTCTCCTCCCCATGATGGCTCCCTCCTGCCGCTCCGTCGACCACAGAGAAGTGAGTGCCGGGCCCCTGGATAGAGACCCACAGACTCACACAGAGACCCACAGATTCTGTACACAGAGACCCACAGACTCTGTACACAGAGACCCACAGATTCTGTACACAGAGACCCACAGACTCACACAGAGACCCACAGAGTTGCATAGAGACCCACAGACTCACACAGAGACCCACAGACTCACACAGAGACCCACAGATTCTGTACACAGAGACCCACAGACTCACACAGAGACCCAGAGAGTTGCATAGAGACCCACAGATTCTGTACGCAGAGACCCCTAGACTCACACAGAGACCCACAGACTCACACAGAGACCCACAGATTCTGTACACAGAGACCCATAGAGTCACATAGACACCCACAGACTCACACAGAGACCCACAGACTCAAACAGACACCCACAGACTCACACAGAGACCCACAGACTCACACAGAGACCCACAGATTCTGTACACAGAGACCCACAGACTCGCAAAGAGACCCACAGAGTTGCATAGAGACCCACAGACTCACACAGAGACCCACAGACTCACACAGAGACCCACAGATTCTGTACACAGAGACCCACAGACTCACACAGAGACCCACAGAGTTGCATAGAGACCCACAGATGCTGTACGCAGAGACCCATAGACTCACACAGAGACCCACAGACTCACACAGAGACCCACAGATTCTGTACACAGAGACCCACAGAGTTAAATAGAGACCCACAGATTCTGTACACAGAGACCCATAGAGTTACATAGACACCCACAGACTCACACAGAGACCCACAGATTCTGTACACAGAGACCCACAGACTCACACAGAGACCCACAGACTCACATAGACACCCACAGACTCAAACAGACACTCACAGACTCACACAGAGACCCACAGACTCACACAGAGACCCACAGATTCTGTACACAGAGACCCACAGACTCACACAGAGACCCACAGAGTTGCATAGAGACCCACAGATTCTGTTCGCAGAGACCCACAGACTCACACAGAGACCCACAGACTCACACAGAGACCCACAGATTCTGTACACAGAGACCCACAGAGTTAAATAGAGACCCACAGATTCTGTACACAGAGACCCATAGAGTTACATAGACACCCACAGACTCACACAGAGACCCACAGATTCTGTACACAAAGACCCACAGATTCTGTACACAGAGACCCATAGACTTACACAGAGACCCATAGACTCACACAGAGACCCACAGACTCTGTACACAGAGACCCACAGACTCACACAGAGACCCACAGACTCTGTACACAGAGACCCATAGAGTTACACAGAGACCCACAGACTCACATAGAGACCCACAGACTCTGTACACAGAGACCCACAGACTCACACAGAGACCCACAGATTCTGTATACAGAGACCCACAGAGTCGCATAGAGACCCACAGAGTCGCATAGAGACCCACAGACTCACATAGAGACCCACAGAGTTACACAGAGACCAACAGATTCTGTACACAGAGACCCACAGACTCACACAGAGACCCACAGACTCACACAGAGACCCACAGACTTACACAGAGGTCCACAGATTCTGTACACAGAGACCCACAGACTCACACAGAGACCCACAGATTCTGTACACAGAGAACCACAGAGTTGCATAGAGACCCACAGATTATGTACACAGAGACCCACAGAGTTAAATAGAGACCCACAGACTCTGTACACAGAGACCCACAGACTCACACAGAGACCCACAGATTCTGTACACAGAGACCCACAGACTCACATAGAGACCCACAGACTCTGTACACAGAGACCCACAGACTCTGTACACAGAGACCCACAGACTTACACAGACACCCACAGACTCACACAGAGACCCACAGACTCGCACAGAGACCCAAAGACTCACACAGAGACTCACAGACTCGCACAGAGACCCATAGACTCACACAGAGACCCACAGACTCACAAAGAGACCCACAGACTCACACAGAGACCCACAGACTCACGCAGAGACCCACAGACTCACACAGAGACCCATAGACTCACACAGAGACCCATAGACTCACACAGAGACCCACCGACTCGCACAGAGACCCACAGACTCACACAGAGACCCATAGACTCACACAGAGACCCACCGACTCGCACAGAGACCCAAAGACTCACACAGAGACTCACAGACTCGCACAGAGACCCATAGACTCACACAGAGACCCACAGACTCGCACAGAGACCCAAAGACTCACACAGAGACTCACAGACTCGCACAGAGACCCATAGACTCACACAGAGACCCACAGACTCACAAAGAGACCCACAGATTCGCACAGAGACCCACAGACTTACATAGAGACCCACAGACTCACACCGAGACCCACAGACTTACACAGAGACCCATAGATTCACGCAGAGACCCATAGACACAGAGATCCATGGCCCCACATAGAGACTGAAGAAGGTCCATTGCCTGAAACGTCGCCCACTGTGTGAGGTTATCAGACGTTTCCTTTGACTAATCCGCAAACGTTTGTGTGTGTCTTTCTGTGTGTGTGTGTGTGTCTGTGAGTGTCTGTGTGTGTGTCTGTGTGTCTGTGAGTGTGTCTGTGTGTGTGTCTGTGTGTGTGTCTGTGTGTCTGTGAGTGTGTCTGTGTGTGTGTCTGTGTGTGTGTCTGTGTGTGTGTCTGTGAGTGTGTCTGTGTGTGTGTCTGTGAGTGTGTCTGTGTGTGTGTCTGTGAGTGTGTCTGTGAGTGTGTCTGTGTGTCTGTGTGTGTCTGTCTGTGTGTCTGTGTGTGTGTCTGTGTGTGTGTCTGTGTGTGTGTCTGTGTGTGTGTCTGTGTGTCTGTGAGTGTGTCTGTGTGTGTGTCTGTGTGTGTATCTGTGTGTGTGTCTGTGTGTGTCTGTGTGTCTGTGAGTGTGTCTGTGTGTATCTGTGTGTGTGTGTCTGTGTGTGTGTCTGTCTGTGTGTCTTTGTGTCCGTGTGTCTTCGTCCTATCGTCACAACCGTGGTGCTAACAGAGGGTATGTATGTGTGTATACGTGTGTGTGTGTGCACCACTCATGTCTACATTTCACATACACCGCCACCACCACCACCACCATCCATCATCATCATCACAAAGACAAAGGTCCCCCGTGTTAGCCTTCAGCAGACCTTTAGGGGCAAGTGCTGTTAGCGATCAGCACCGTGACGGAGCGGTTAGCGCTACGAACATGTGCCGGATTTTCATGATATTATTATAATTATAACAATTATAATTATATCATTATAGTTATATTATAATATTATTGTGTTATAATTATATAATTGTAATTAGATAATTATATTATATTATAATTATATTACAAATATATTATTATAATTATATTATAATAATTCTGTTATTATATTATAATTATATTATGTTATTATTATAATTATATTATTATGATTATATTTATTATTATATTATAATTATATTACAAATATATTCTAATTATATTATAATCTGTTATATTATAATTATATTATTATGATATTATAATAATATATTATTATAATTATGTTATTATGATATTATAATTATATTATTATGATATAATAATTAGATTAGTATAATTATATATTTTATTATTATATTATAATCATATTACAAATATATAATAATTATATTGTAATTATATTATTATAATTATGTTATGATATTATAATTATATTATTAAGATATAATAATTATATTATATTATTATAATAATGCTATTATAGTGATATAATTATAACTGTTATAATGATTCCGATAGCACAAGTAGCTCAACATGCTAGCGGGCAGCACCCCGCACTTTCAAGGGGCCCCGCTCGCGAAATGCAATCGAGCTCTCAATTCCGGTTCAGCGATTCTGCACTTGCTTTGTAACTATAGTACTATACTGCCTTCGACTTGTACGAACGAGCGGGTTGTTTAAGGTTAGCGATTTGTCGAATTATCCGGGCTGTTTGGCAAATGAAAAAAATAACAATTAGCTTTCCGGAGATAGATTCAAATAAAATAACGTTATTTTATTTGAAACCCATCTACGTGACTTTACCAAAAGACCCAAAGATTATGAAACATTATGAATTCCTGCAGTCACGAAAGCTTTAAGTAAAGATTTAAAACTGTGTTTTTAATTTTCGACTTAAAGCTTTCGTGACTGCAAGGATTCATCTTCTTTGGTTCTTTCGGTAAAGTCACCACCACGTAGAATGAGAATAAAATAATAAATTGATAAAATAAAATAACAATAAAATTCTCACGACGTTTCGGCCACAACACAAGCGGCCTTCATCAGACAGTCTCGTCCCTTCACCTGAAGAAGGCCGCTTGTGTTGTGGCCGAAACGTCGTGAGAATTGTATTGTTTTATTTTATTATTTTATTCTCATTCTACGTGGTGACTTTACCGAAAGAACCAAAGAAGATGTGTTTTTAATATTTACGTGTTTTTAAATAAATGTAGAGCCCCTTTAAAAAACACAACAACGTGCTCCAGGTCCCGCACTAGCTTCATGCGACACTTGCTCTATTACTATAGTACTATACTGCCTTTAGCTTTTATGAACGACTGGGTGTATTAAGGTTTGCGATTTGTCTAATTATCTGGGCTGTGTAGCTAATGAAAAAAGTACAATTACTTTACTGTGCAAGTTTAAAACTTGTGTGTGTGTAGTGGTAGACTATGTGTGGTAGACTATGTGTGTGTGTGGTAGACTATGTATGTATGTGTGGTTGACTTTGTGTGTGTGTGGTAGACTATGTGTGTGTGTGTGGTGTGTGTGATGGTTGACTATGTGTGTGGTAGACTATGTGTGTGTAGTGGTAGTCTTATGTGTGTGTGGTGTGTGTGTGATGGTTGACTATGTGTGTGGTTGACTATGTGTGTGGTTGACTATGTGTGTGTGTGGTGTATGCAGTGGTTGACTATGTGTGTGGTTGACTATGTGTGTGTGTGATGGTTGACTATGTGTGTGGTTGACTATGTGTGTGGTTGACTATGTGTGTGTGTGTGGTGTATGTAGTGGTTGACTATGTGTGTGGTTGACTATGTGTGTGTGTGTGATGGTTGACTATGTGTGTGGTTGACTATTGTGTGGTTGACTATGTGTGTGTGGTGTGTAGTGGTTGACTGTGTGGTTGACTATGTGTGTGGTTGACTATGTGTGTGTGTGTGTGGTGTGTGTGATGGTTGACTATGTGTGTGGTTGACTATGTGTGTGTGGTGTGTGTGATGGTTGACTATGTGTGTGGTTGACTATGTGTGTGGTTGACTATGTGTGTGTGTGTGTGGTGTGTGTGATGGTTGACTATGTGTGTGGTTGACTATGTGTGTGTGGTGTGTGTAGTGGTTGACTGTGTGGTTGACTATGTGTGTGGTTGACTATGTGTGTGTGTGTATGTGGTGTGTGTGATGGTTGACTATGTGTGTGGTTGACTATGTGTGTGTGGTGTGTGTGATGGTTGACTATGTGTGTGGTTGACTATGTGTGTGGTTGACTATGTGTGTGTGGTGTGTGTGATGGTTGACTATGTGTGTGGTTGACTATGTGTGTGTGGTGTGTGTGATGGTTGACTATGTGTGTGGTTGACTATGTGTGTGTGTGGTGTGTGTGATGGTTGACTATGTGTGTGGTTGACTATGTGTGTGTGGTGTGTGTGATGGTTGACTATGTGTGTGGTTGACTATGTGTGTGTGTGTGGTGTGTGTGATGGTTGACTATGTATGTGGTTGACTATGTGTGTGGTTGACTATGTGTGTGTGTGGTGTGTGTAGTGGTTGACTGTGTGTGGTTGACTATGTGTGTGGTTGACTATGTGTGTGTGTGTGGTGTGTGTGATGGTTGACTATGTGTGTGTGTGGTGTGTGTGATGGTTGACTATGTGTGTGGTTGACTATGTGTGTGTGTGTGGTGTGTGTGATGGTTGACTATGTGTGTGGTTGACTATGTTTGTGTGGTGTGTGTGGTGATGGTTGACTATGTGTGTGGTTGACTATGTGTGTGTGTGTGTGGTGTGTGTGATGGTTGACTATGTGTGTGGTTGACTATGTGTGTGTGTGTGTGTGGTGTGTGATGGTTGACTATGTGTGTGGTTGACTGTGTGTGTGTGTGGTGTGTGTGATGGTTGACTATGTGTGTGGTTGACTATGTGTGTGTGGTGATGGTGCTCGCCGCCGCTGCAAGGGTCGACATCGTGGTGGAGGACTTCGCTCGCAAGGGAGAGGAGCCGGAGAAGGTGGACGAGGTGGACGATGCGGGCGATGCGAATTAAAGGGCACGCCGGGCACTCCGTTCTGTGTAGTGAGCCTCTGGGCTTAGAGGTAGACATCAACAACATCAACAACATCAACAACATCAACAACATCAGCATCAGCATCCACTGAAGAGATGCCAGTTCTCAATTGCGATCACAACACCACATCTTCAACTCGTCCAACACAAGACATCATCCGTGATACTGGACGTCATCTGTGAAAATAGCGACGATGGGTGGTGGTTGCAAGTGATGGTGGTGATGGTGGTGATGGTGGCAGTGGTTATAGTGGTGATGGTGGTGGTGATGGTGGTGATGGTGGCAGTGGTTATAGTGGTGATGGTGGTGGTGGTGATGATGATGGTGGTGGTGGTGGTGGTGATGATGGTGGTGGTGGTGGTGATGATGGTGGTGATGATTGTGGCAGTAGTAATACACTACTATACACTACACTATACACTACACTATACACTACACTATACACTACTATACAGTACTATACACTATATACTACTATACCCTACACTATACACTACTATACACTACACTATACACTACTATACACTACACTATACACTACACTATACACTACACTATACACTACACACTACACTATACACTAAACTATACTATACCCTACACACCACACTATACACTACACTATACACTACTATACAGTACTATACACTACACCATACACTACACTATACACTACACTATACACTACTATACACTGCTATACACTACACTATACACTACACTATACACTACTATACACTACACTATACACTACTATACACTACACAATACACTATACACTACACTATACACTACACTATACACTACACTATACACTACTATACACTACTATACACTACACTATACACTACACTACTATACACTACACTATACACTACTATACACTACACTATACACTACTATACACTACTATACATGACTATACACTACACTATACACTACTATACACTACTATACACTACTATACACTACACTATACACTACACTATACACTACATTATACACTACTATACATGACTATACACTACACTATACACTACACTATACACTACACTATACACTACACTATACACTACACTATACACTACATTATACACTACTATACACTATACACTACACTACACTATACACTACACTACACACTACACTATACACTACACTATACACTACACTATACACTACACTTTTGGTTGGCCATCGAACAAAGGCGGTGGTCACGGCGTCATCTTCGCGCGGACCTTTCAGATTGCTCTGCTTCCGCGGCCGTCTGGAACGCTCTCTCTGGGGAGCTGTTTTAGATCGTCATCTTCATCATCTAGATGGACAAACTCGTTTGTTTAGAATTGCTGCTGGTTGTCGTTGTTGTTGTTGTGTTTAGTTTATTGTCATTCCCCCCCCCCCACGCGCACCTCCGATTAGCCACGGTTGGCTACGTACGGTGCGAAATTAGTTCAACAGGCACACATAGAGACCCAGATTCAACACTGCCCATAGACTCAACACTGCCCATAGACTCAACACCGCACCATAGACTCAACACTGCACCATAGACTCAGCATTGCACCATAGACTCAACACTGCACCATAGACTCAACATTGCACCATAGACTCAACACTGCACCATAGACTCAACACTGCCCATAGACTCAACACTGCACCATAGACTCAACATTGCACCATAGACTCAACACTGCACCATAGACTCAACATTGCACCATAGACTCAACACTGCACCGTAGACTCAACACTGCACCATAGACTCAACACTGCCCATAGACACAACACTGCACCATAGACTCAACACTGCACCATGGACTCAACACTGCCCATAGACTCAGCACTGCAACATAGACTCAACACTGCACCATGGACTCAACACTGCCCATAGACTCAACACTGCAACATAGACTCAACACTGCACCATGGACTCAACACTGCACCATAGACTCAATACTGCACCATAGACTCAACACTGCACCATAGACTCAACACTGCCCCCAGACTCAACACTGCCCATAGACTCAACACTGCCCATAGATTTTGATTTAAAGCTTTCGTGACTGCAGTAATTCATATTCTTAGTTTTTTCGGTAAAGTCACGTTGAAGAGAAACAACAAAATAATAAAATATATATAAAACAATAAAAAATTCTCACGACGTTTCGACCATAACTCAAACGGTCATCTTCAGGTGTGTTTGAGTTATGGTCGAAACGTCGTGAGAATTTTTTATTGTTTTATATATATTTTATTATTTTGTTGTTTCTCTTCAACGTGACTTTACCGAAAAAACTAAGAATATGAATTACTGCCCATAGACTCAACACTGCCCATAGACTCAATACTGCACCATAGACTCAACACTGCACCATAGACTCAACACTGCAAAATAGACTCAACACTGCACCATAGACTCAACACTGCCCATACACTCAACACTGCACCATAGACTCAACACTGCCCATAGACTCAACACTGCAAAATAGACTTAACACTGCAACATAGACTCAACACTGCACCATAGACTCAACACTGCCCATAGACTCAACACTGCCCATAGACTCAACACTGCCCATAGACTCAACACTGCCCATAGACTCAACACTGCAACATAGACTCAACACTGCACCATGGACTCAACACTGCCCATAGACTCAACACTGCCCATAGACTTAAGACTCCACCACAGACTCAACACTACACCATAGACTCAACACTGCACCATAGACTCAACACTGCCCATAGATTCAACACTGCACCATAGACTCAACGCTGCCCATAGACTCAACACTGCACAATAGACTCAACACTGCCCATAGACTCAACACTGCACCATAGACTCAACACTGCACCATAGACTCAACCCTGCCCACAGACTCAACACTGCACCATAGATTCAACACTGCCCATAGACTCAACACTGCACCAAAGACTCAACACGACACCATAGACTCAACACTGCGCCATAGACTGAACACTGCCCCATAGACTCAACACTGCACCATAGACTCAACAATCCCTCATAGACTCAACACTGCCCCATAGACTCAACACTCCCCCATAGACTCAATACTCCCCATAATCAACACTGCACCATAGACTCAACACTGCACAATAGACTCAACACTGCACAATAGACTCAACACTGCCCATAGACTCAACACTGCACCATAGACTCAACACTGCACCATAGACTCAACACTGCGCATAGACTCAACACTGCACCATAGACTAAACACTGCACAATAGACTCAACACTGCCCATAGACTCAACACTGCACAATAGACTCACCACTGCCCATAGACTCAACACTGCACCATAGACTCAACACTGCACCATAGACTCAACCCTGCCCACAGACTCAACACTGCACCATAGATTCAACACTGCCCATAGACTCAACACTGCACCAAAGACTCAACACTGCCCATATACTCAACACTGCACCATAGACTCAACACTGCGCCATAGACTCAACACTGCCCCATAGACTCAACACTGCACCACAGACTCAACACGGCACCATAGACTCAACACTGCCCATAGACTCAACACTGCACCATAGACTCAACACTGCACCATACACTCAACACTGCCCATAGACTCAATACTGCACCATAGACTCAATACTGCACCATAGACTCAACACGACACCATAGACTCAACACTGCACCATTGACTCAACACTGCACCATAGACTCAATACTGCACCATAGACTCAACACGACACCATAGACTCAACACTGCCCATAGACTCAACACTGCACCATAGACTCAACACTGCCCATAGACTCAAGACTACCCATAAACTCAACACTAAGAGGTGGGGCCTTACCATCAGCCTCACCAAAATTAAACACCTGCCTAGGTATTTCATACCATCGGACACTCCACCCCCACAACTCCCAATTGGTGATGGGGCAGTTGTGGAGAGAGTGGAGAGTTTCCCATACCTTGACAGCAGAGGTCTCACTCCGAATCAGTCGAGCGGCATTATCTTTTCATCGGTTGCGTAACGCTGTGTGGAAGCTACCTGGTCTGTCGCTCTACACAAAGCTTCGGGTCTTCTCGGCCACCGCCATTCCCTCCCTTCTCTACACTCGCGAAACGTGGATCCCCCCCCCCCCCTAATTGAACATCTTCGCCAGTTCGAAACATTTAGGCTTGTCCTGCCTACGATCCATCCCAGGTTTAACCAGGCTGGATTGTGTGAGGATCTCACAAATCCTCGAAAGATCTGGACAAAGTCCCATCGGTGAGCTCCTCCGGCAGGCAAGGCTGCGTTGGCTGGGTCATGTAGCCCACATGCCCAGCCACCGCATGCCTAAACAGCTTTTGTTCGGCCGGATAGAGGGGGCTAAACGGGCGCGGCACGGGCTAGAGAAGAGATGGAGTGATGTGGTACAGGAGGACGTGGAGCTGAGTGGACTTGCCGATGACTGGTACCAGCTGTGTCGAGATCGGCCTCTGTGGAAGAGGCTCGTGAAGGACGCTACTGAGAAGTTGGAGGCAGTCGCCCTCCAACAACAACGGAGGGCGGAGGAGCGACGCTCACAACAACGAGTGGAGCACCGGGTGGCTAAAGCACAGCGAGTTGGCACAGTAGGTGGCACAGGTGGTGCATCAGCCACTCATCTCAGTCAGTCGACCCGTTGCACCTGCTGGGTCTGCCCCGTGACCTCCTGTAAGCGGGCGTTCGACACTTCACGTGGCCTCAAGGTGCACATGGCCTGGCACGAGCGTCGTGGTGACGTCACCGCCACTTCGTGGTGAATGGCGGTTGTTGTTGTTGGTGGTGGTGGGGAGCGTTTGCGACGCCGGCTATGGCCCACGTGTTTAGTTCCTGAGGCCTCCCCTAGGTCGACTCACCCTCAAAACGAGTTTACCTGGGTGAGGTGTGTAGTGAACATCGCCACTGGGGGAGACAAAGGCGGCCGGGGCGTTGTGCTGGTAGCCACCCACCCCCTCTAGGTGTGCCACAGTGCCGGTAGCCTTCACAGCACTTGCCCCTACAGCCTGTTAGAGGCTCTACGGAGGGACCTTTGGTAGTGACGGTGGTGGTGGTTTTGGTGGTTTTAAGAGGTGCGTAGTGGTGAATGTGAAGTTTGTGAGCGGAATTGTCTCAATAAAGTTTATTCCGTGTAGGTGAAACACTCGTGCGTGCGTTCCCTGCGTTTACTGCAGCTGTGATGCAGCTGCACGTGACGCAGCTACACGTGACGCAGCTACACGTGACGCAGCTACACGTGACGCAGCTGCACATGAC